CCCCCGCGACCCAGATGCTGCAGATGTTCTGGGCTATTGGCGCCATTATCGTGGGCGGTGTTTGCTACGTGTACGAGAGCAAGCTCGACCCCAGTGCGTACAGGTTTGTACCTCTTTTACCCTCTTGATTAAATCCGTCTTTGCTGAACAAAACCAACCCAGGGTCCCGATTGCCCTTCAATGGATGTTCCCCACCCCTCTCGCCATCCTCCTCTTCATTGCTCCGGAATCACCTTGGTGGCTGGTCCGTAAGGGACGCCTCGAAGAAGCTGCGAAGTCAGTTCGACGCTTGGGTCGTGCTTCGGGCACCAATGCCGAAGAATCCATTGCCATGATGCGCCGCACGATTGATCTCGAGAAGACCGTCAAGGACCCCAGCTACCTGGAGCTGTTCAAGGGCGTTGACACCTACCGCACCCTCATTGTTTGTGGTGTCTATGCGGCGCAGAACCTTACGGGTAACCTTATTGCCAACCAAGCCGTTTACTTCTTCAGACGTGAGTTACTTTGAATTGCTCTGACGATGAATATTGTATACTGACGTGTGAGCAGAGGCCGGTATCGGCTCCCAACTTGCCTTTGCTCTTGGTCTTATCACTTCCGCTCTGCAAACCATTTTCGTCATGCTTTCCTGGATTCTGACGACATACCTCGGCCGCCGAACTATCTACGTCTGGGGCTCTTTGATTAATGTCGTCTTCCTGATCGCGCTTGGTATTGCCGGATCCGTCGAGCGCTCTGATGCGTCATCTTTGGCGATGGCCTCTCTCGGCCTCATCGTGTCTGTCGGTTTCACACTGGGCCCTGCTCCCGCCTCCTGGGTCATCATTGCGGAGACATCGGCTATTCGCCTTCGTCCATTGACGACCGGTATTGGACGTGCCGCCTACTACGTTGTGAACATTCCTTGCATCTTCCTCTCAACTTACATGCTTAACACGACCGTAAGCTTACTCCCTCCTCCTCCCCAAGTGTAGCAGCGTACTAATGATAAAATAGGGTGTTGACTTGGGCGGCAGATGCGGCTACGTCTGGGGTGCCACCGGTTTTGTCTGTTTCGTCCTCGCGTACTTCTACATCCCTGAGATGAAGGGACGCTCCGTTCGCGAGATCGACATCATGTTCAAGCGCAAGATCCCTGCCCGCCAGTGGAAGAAGACCGTCATCGACATCAATGATGACGAGTAGACGGTCTACAGCTTCCATGCTTGGGTTAGGCTCTCAACCAAAATAATCCACCCGCTTGATTGATGAGTTGCGCATACGGGGTGCCTCCAGCTGGGGATGGAGGAGAAAGATGAGCAAAGAAGAAAGATGGAATTTGTTAGAGCGGTATAGCCATAATACAAACAAGACTCCACGATATGACATAACGTAGATGCACTATAACTACCGAGTATTTGTTGCCCACTGCATCGGCAAAGTGCGCCGTGAAAGAGAGCTTGCACAAGGTATCAATTAAACAGATTTGCATTCGACTTCGTCATCACCCCTAAGACCATTTGACTTATTTCTGGGGCGGAGGCAATACTGGAAAATCTTCGAGGAGTGTGTCGTACTCTTCTAGTATGGGTAGGTACCTAGTACTACTCCCACTTTCGAGGCAGTTGTTGGGAAGGGCGGATGCTTGGGCGCGGCACGTCAGACAACTCACACATACCCCGCCAGCAATCAGAACAAGATTACGCGATTACAAAACAACACTTCAAGAGCTGTTTTGTCATCTTACATCGTGCGACGTGAGCGGCGCGGATAAGTCCATCTCATCTCAAGCTCATAGTGTCCTAGGCTTGCCGGAACCGGACACCAAGTGGGACGGGTATTGACGCAGCAGATACACGCGGGCTAATCATGTTCACCTTATTTCGCTTGTTGATCTCATATCCCCTGATCAAGAGGTCAAGTCTCTGGCTTGCTTTGAGACGGGTCGATGATGGACTTGAAGCACTGGAGCTTTGCACAGTGCCCCTTTCAAAGTGTTTGTTGGAATCCTTCGTTCTCGTTTATCATTCTTCATCGTAAAACACAAAAGCTCTAACCTCGATACTCACTCTCGGTTCTCCCTCTCCTTCGGGAAGCTCAGTGTCCTTGAATGCGCAATGAGGAACTCTCCTGGGAACTCCAGGCTTCTTGCTCGAGTCAACTTGCTTGAAGAAGAGCACATCATCGGTCTGTTGCTTGTCCTTGAAGTACCACTTGTGAGGAGAGTCCGTCGGCGGCCGCACCTCAACTGCCTCCGTATCGTGATCCGGGAAGCGCACGGGCACGAAGACCAGGTCTGAGTCGGGGATGGACCGCGCGTCAGAAACGGCGAACGGATCCCGAGTGATGGGACGAATTGGTCGCCACATCTACCCCCCGTTAGTCCGAGATAGGCAAGCTGGTTTATGATTGGTCTTACGTTGATGATTTGGTAACGCGGCTTCTTGAGAAGGTCTGCGGCTCTGTCGCCAAGCCATCTTTGGGCGACTCCCTCAGCGGCATTGAAAGACTGGTCGACATGGACACCGTACAGCGGCGCCGGGCCCTTGGGACCCTCGTTATCCTTGGGACCGCGGCGGATGATGTGCGTCAAGATGTGCACCTCGGAGGGTTTGGGGCTAGATGTGTGAGCCGAAAGCTTAATACATGCAACAGCGACCTTGACAGGGTCAGGCAAAGGAGTTTGGCTTACAGATTGTCGGTCTCCTGCAGCACTTTCCAGCATAGCTTCTCCATCTCAGGATAGTTCACCCGCTTGATCTCCTCATCGTCATCCCAGTTGGTTACTTGACTTTCGTGCTTTACATAGTGAAAGCCTTGAACATCAAGCGTGAACTCGTCCTCCTTCCCGGTGACGTCGGTGATGGTTGTAGGGATGGCGACCTTGGGCTGGGGCTTTCCAGGAGTCGGACTTATCGTGCCGAGTTAGCCTCAATCAAGTTTCATTTGGCATTTGCTGTCTTACCCTCCAATGATCATGGGCACCAAAGGCACACCAGGGTCATCAAAGTAGTTGATGGTCGTTTGCACTTGTCGTCCCGGCGCCATTTTGCAACAAGGAATGCTTTTCTGAAAAAAAAGACAACGCTGGCAAACAGAACGCGATTTCGCGGGGAAGAGGGCGACCGTTCAGTTATGAAATGGGCGCGCCTTTGATAGGGGCCCATGTGTTATCGGTTGTCTCCATCGCGAGTCAGGGCTTGGCAGCGACTGCACACAACGACATGGCTACCCCGGCTGAACTAAGCTGAACATGTATCGATCTCCATATCAACGCGGGGAGTAATGAGGGGTCCGACTCACTGACCTAAACGCTCAGTCGCGATTTTTGGATGCCCAATCACCTCAGTATGGCTTGGGTTGGGTGAATACTCACGGATTCCCACTCACGATCTACCTGCGTCTCATTCCGATCCAAGTATAAGTCCTAGCTCATCATATCAGGTGGTCAGTGTCAAAAAGCTTGTGTCTCCAGCTTTCATCGAGTGCCGACATTGCATGCTGAGCGGGCCGCTATATGGCAAGTGGATCTAGCTGATTGTGGAAGGCCTTCATGAGTCGCGAGCGCTTCTTCTCGTTACGTGAATGTTTTCTGCTCGTCTTATCTTTCCTCGATCAGCATGCAGTTCATCTGTTTACATGTGAGCCGGCAAGCTGATCCCTGTGAGGTGCCATTGCCTTGGATCTCGCGGTCACCGCTTGTTTTTAGTCCCTGACGATTGATTGGGTCGATTTGATTATCATCAAGCTTCAAGCCCAGCGGATTCTAATCTCGGGGATTCTTCTTACTCAGTAAGCTTCCCCGGTGGGATAGATCACGTTCCCCAGAATCGGAATAACCAGCGGGTTTACGTAAGTCACTGAACTATGTGACATAACCACGTGGAGTTAAAAGGGACAGACTGCAGCCGTTGTAATGGTGACTGGCGGTTCGGGCTTCTCGCTGTAAGAAGCAGTGCGACCTTTTATAAGTGTGTTCAGCGCCGATTGTATTTAGCCACATCGTCGAATGAAAGAATCGCGTCAAGTACCGTTGATCGGCTTCTGAACAACACGTTAGATTTTCACAACCGCATTTGCGCGGATTACCAGGCTCAAAAACATTTCATCAGGCATATCAATGCGGACTAATATCTAAATTCCTCCAAACGATGCAATCTTCGAGAATGAATTGAGTCGCTCTTTTTTGACTTGCAAAGGCTAAAAGGTGACGAAGAGATGAACGAAAGCTGTGCGGAAAGAAGAAGCAAAGCATTTATTGACAGACCACTTAAATACGGCGCTTCTCTTGTAACTCAGTCTTAAATCACCTGTCCTCAATCATCTATATCTGCATATAGCTCCCATACCATGCATAGGCTAGGGCGACTTCCTCCCGCGGGAAGAGACAGACGGTTGGGGCCTTTCCCAGGCCGTTCACCTTGCATTATGTTAGTAGACTGTGAGAATCAATGGAGGTTGGGTAATGAGGCCTCAACTCACAATCTTTGATCAGATGACCAAACTCCTCCTCGCAGATGGAAACGTCCTCTCGGAGCTTTTTCAAGGCTTTATTGAGGTCGGAGCCTTCGCCTTGCGGTTCATTCTGTTTGTGCGACTGAATGCTGACCTTGATGACGAACTCGAAATCTTCTCTCCACACCTGTTGGTCATCTTCGCTGTAAAATATGACGTCCTTGTTGTAGGTGATCCTGCTGTCCTCAGCGAACCACTCGTCGCTCCACTCATTTTCGAACGCGACTTCGCAGAACTTTTCAACAATCTCTTTGGCCCTGTCTTTCTTGAATCTCCCACCTTTCTCATTGCAGGACCCAGTCCACTGAACTGGAGGTGCTGTGGTTGTTTTCGCAGGTGGAGTAGGCGTTGGAGATTTGCTCAGACTCTTGGGAAGACAAGCGCATAGGAAGGGTTTGCTGTCTTTGGTCGGATCTATGCCTGGCATCACAATCAGTGTACATTGCTTGGCTTTGTCTCCTCCGCACTCAGGACAGTCTTGATCCGTTAGGCATCTGAACTTCTCAGGAATTGGTGTCGTTGTTTTCTTGGGAGTGGATGAGGATGTTGTTGACGTTGTCGACGAGGGCTTGCTTGTCACCATCTGGGATGTTGTTTTGATCGATATCACAGACGAAGAAGTGCCGTTCAACAAGGTTGTGCCGAGCCGTGGTACTGTGGTCGTGTTCGATATCATGGTGGAAAGTGCAGTACTGTTCATCGAGGGTGTACTGGACCGTGTTATAGATGTCGCATTTGATGTGACCGAAGAAAACAGAGTGCTGTTGATCGAGAGTGTGCTGGAACGTGGTGTTGATGTTGTGTTCGATTTTATCGTTGAAAGTGAGCTGAAGCTTGTTGAGAGCAGTCTTGTCATCGGGATTGACGTGTTGGCTGGCAAAGTAAATGACCAAGTACCGTTCGGCGACAACCGTGAACTTGACGAAAAAGGTGTCACAGACCCCCCTTGCACACTTCTGGACGTGGTAGTCATTATAGAAGCGTTGGACGAAGGCATGATCGTCGGCATGGAGCAGACTTGTCTCTTTTGAGCCGCTCCCCCCTCAGCTGGCGGGTCTGCGCCTTGCCAGCGTTGACCCTCTTCTGGCAGCCATTCCCCCGTCGAAACCTGTCCATAGACATCCGCAAACACTCTCCACTTCGCTGTAAGACCTTGGCAGGCGGATCTCGAGGGCTGATATTGGAGAATCACCTTGCCTCGATGAACCCTACAGACATCGTCCATTAGGGTCTTGATGACAGGAACAAGAAACCGATCGGACATTGCCACATCGTCAGGGAGACCCATCCACCAATCGTAGTCCGCGAGTGTAAGCGTTGGTCTGGGATAGTCGACGATATCAATCTCGATTTCGCCGTTAAACTTCCTTTGAAGGTCTCTGATAATGAGTTCCACGCTATCCTCAAAGTCGGGGTCTGCAGCGCCCGCTGCGAAGTGTTCATTGTTGAGATCACCTGTTGACGAGCCGTCGGGGTTTCGATATACCGGCTTGCGTCGAGGCGCGAAGATGAAGGCTTTGATGTTCAAATGGTCAACATCTTCGTCTGCCGGGTTGCCAAACATAACACCCACGTCTCCATCCCGCTCATAATCGGTCAGCTGGTCGAGGCCACGTTCGTTGTACTGAAACATTTCTTCGTCTTCTCCAGTACCATGTCGCCACTGGTCTAGAGCTTGTGTCATTTCTTGTTCATCGTACATCGTCCTTTCCCAAAAGTAAGCGGCCCAGGCACCTCGATTGGATACCACAAGAACGACTGTGCAGCCCCAGAGTCCTTCGATGGCGAGAGTCTCGGGCTTGTCTTTGAAAAGCACAAACTTGGTGGATACTGGCAAGTCAAATCCTTCAGGCATTGCCTTAAGAAGTGTGGGCCTGAATGCTCCTGGTTCTGCTGGGAAGGGATTTTGCGACGCCAAGCGTGCTTGTCGGATTTGCGCTGGCATCCATTGGCGGTAGCCACTGTGAGAATCGTGAATGTCTTGCCAGAAGCCGTAGGCTGTATCCCCACGCTTCGCAAGTGGCCGAGGAACACTTTGCTGCGTGGGTTCATCGGAAGACTCTTGCGGCGGCTCTTGTGGTGGTATCAAGTGCAACGGCTGGCAACTACCGCAGGAATCTGGCCCGCATGTAGGTAGAGCCCTTGCGCTGGAGGTCTGCGTGGTTGCGACCGTGGTTGTGACTACTGAGTTGGCGACGCTACAACCTGTGACGGTGGTGTATGCGCTGCTCAAGCATGTTGTCGTAACTGTCGTTTGGGTGGCATTTCCAACAGCCACGGCTGGGATAAACAAGTCAGTGAATGTTCTTGTTTTGATACAAGAAATCTCTCCGAACTTACCTTTAGATACGGAACAAAACACTGTCTGATGCGTGGCAGTGACAGTGACGGAACATGAGGAGGTAGTCTGGCTAGGACGTGGGCAGACCTTCCTGCGGGCAAGGCCCGGTTGGTCGGGATCCAAATCCATTTCGTCAGCAGCCCTTCCGCCTCTCCATACCTGACCATCTTCCGGAACCCACTGGGATTCACCCTGTTGCCTCATGGTATCTGAGAAGATACGCCATTCAGCCCTTCCATTACATGACTCTGCTGGTTTGTACTGAACAATCGTTTTTCCGCGGGCCTTTTCACAGTTAACATCCTTCAGTATGTTGACTGTATCCTGAAGTGTCAAGTGATTCTGCTGGTATCCCTTCCAATCTGACCAGAGAAGCATCGGTGCAGGATAGTCAAGAGTTGTAACCCAATGTGTAAGCCTGTTCTGGAACACACTGTTCAAGTCTTGTCTGATCCAGTCGACGTGGAGCGGGTATAATACCTGCATATTGAAGTGATTGGGATTTTGAAGAAAGCGATCTGTCCGTGGAGTACCGTCGTCGTTGTAATAACTATATCTCGGGCGTGGCGTAATGATGAAGGCCTGTATGTTGAGGCTCGCAATGTTTTCGTCATCATTGTTCTCGTCGCCGAAAATCACCCCATGGTCTCCAGCCCCTGGGTCGTTCATAAGGTTTTCGATACCGTACTCATTCCACTCTCGCATTGGATCACCCTCACCAGACCCGAGACGATGGTCAGCGAGCGCGGACCTGAAATCATTCAGGTTGTTTCTTCCCATTAAAGCCTCCGAAAAGTAGCTTACCCAAGCACCTCTGTTAGAGACAACAACCACTGCCGTACAGCCCCAAAGTCCCTCAATGGCTAATGTCTCCACATTGTCTTTGAAAGATACCCATTGAGTTGAGACTTTGAAATTGTGGACTGGGTCCATATGGGAGGGCGGAACTCTCAAAAGCTTAGGTTTGTAGCCGCCAGGGCCTGGGTTAGGGTCCGTCGCGGCGTTGCGAGCTTCCCTGATCTGCTCTGGCATAAACTCGTCGTAACCAAGTTGGTAGTCCTCAGGGCCACGCCATTCGCCATTGGCAGGATCGCCTCGTTTCTGGAGCGGTAGAGGTGGTTGACTAGTGGAGGTTGGGTTGCTGGTAGATGTCGCACTTGGCGCCGGACAGTTCTCACCGCAAACATCTGGGCCGCATGTCGGGTATGGCTTTTCGCTGCCAGTCCTTGTCGTGGTTACTGTGGTGACCGAGTTGAGCACGCTGCAGCCCGTAACCTCGGTCTGGATACTGCTGAGACACGTAGTAACGGCAGTTGCCTTTGCGTTCTCGCCTCCACGAATGTCTGGGAGATTAAAATGCATCAGAAAACTATTCCAACAGACTGAAATTTTGGGGAAACCAAAGCGATGACTGACCTTGGGTCACAGAGCAATACACTGTCCGGTGGGTCGCAGTGACGGTGTCTGTGCAAGAAGAGCTCGATGTTGAAGACGACGCTGAGGATTCTGAGGATGACTTGTCTTCGTCATCATCATCATCGTCGTCATCGTCGTCGTCATCGTCGTTGCTGTCGTCTCCCCCTTTGTCTCCGCCGCCGTCTTCTCCCCCTTTCTTGCCATCGTCACTAGGGCAATTTCCGATCTCGAACCACAAAATCTTGATACAGAACTCAGGCAGCTTGAACTCTATGCTGATCTTGGGAGGAAATCCTCCAGGAAAGCACCCGAGACATATGAATGGGATTAAGATGAAATCGTTGTCGTCATCACCACCTCCGCCGCCTTCTTTCGTCTTTTTCTCTTTCTTGACAATGACTGCGAAGCATTAGGCAATGAAACATGCATCGGCCAAAGGGCGGCTTCATCTCACCTGGCACAATCGTTGCTTCGGTGCTACCTGGTAGCGTTGTGGTAATAATAATCGGCGTTGTAACGGTGAGGTCGGAAAGAGTCAGAAAGGACGCTCCAGGGGGTGTTGTGGTGATTGTAGATTCAGCTTTATCTGTCCAATACGCCGAGGATGAAGTTGTAGTGGGAGGGTTGACCCAAGGAACGGTCCACTTGCTTCCAGGCACTTTGGTATTCGAGGGTTGAACCAGAGAGGAAGCGGTGTTGTTTTGAGTGGCGGTCGGAGATGATGGAGGCGTTTGACTGGCAAGAGGTATCGAGAAGGTGTGAATCAGACTACTTGTCGTCAATATTCGACTGGAGGCCGAGTCTTTTGAGGTCAATGTTCTGCTGATGTCGACGCTGGAACTTCCGATTGAGGTGATCTTCGTCGAGGCAGCTGATGTCCGATTACCTCTTGAGTGATTCTCAACGGGTTTCGACGACAAGGGAGTCTGGGAAGTTGATGGATCTGTGCTGTTGCTCCAGATAGGCCCTTTGGAAATGCTGGTTGGAGACGAAGTGGCAGAGGAAATGCCGTTTGTCGAATGCAGTGTTTCATTTCGCCGCGCGGTCTCAGCTGTGGCGGAGATCGTCGTACCTGGAGGTTGAGATATCTGCTAACTCGTCAGAAATTTCCAGAAGCCACCGCCCTCTCAGTCACTTACTTGGGTGATATTCTGGCTAGGGAACCCCTCTGACGAGTTACAGAAGCCTAACCCATCCTGACAAGTCGGGTGCGGGGCCGGGCTTGACGAGTTACTGAAATGACCAAAGGTGTGACTTTGAGCGTTGTCTTGGAAAGCCTCTGCGACATATAGAAGCCACACAAATAGAACAGAAAGATGGGTGAACATGGTTTCCCAAAGTGATCAATGATGCCGAATGCGGCGATGGCTAGGTAGTCAGAGGTGACAGCACTGAAAATAGGGAAGCTTAAGGCTGGGTGAATGATAGCTGATATACTAATTGCAACAAATATCTCTCCGAACTGTTTTGTGCACATGTTCGAGGGATAGTGTGCCTTCCCTTAACGTATACTCACACTGCATGTCGTGAAGTTTTGGCGATGCACGTCGCCATGTAACCTTGCAGCGGTGTGAGGAGGTTTGACTGAGTGCGCCAAATGCTGTACGTGCCTTGTTTTGAGTCTGAGATATTTCTTGACTACTTCTTGACTATCAAGTCTTAGTTCCTTCAGCTCAGAAGCCACCTGTAGATTTCTTTCTGCCCTGCATGTGTTCTGCTCGTACAAACTCGCTTATGATGAATGGTAATGAGAGAATCTTGTCCGAGTGGTGTTATGACGGATTACCTTACAGTGTGATTATGCAGCCAGGGGATGCTGGAGTCCATGGATCTGGAAGTGGAGTGTGCGCTCGACAGACAACAAACAACTGTGAGCTATGTGAGATGATGGTGAGCTCCATTCGTCGTGCCCAAACACCCCTTGCGGCCAGAAAGCCCGGTTTGCCTAAATTAAGCCGCGAAGCTTCCGCGAGGTCTGATGTAGGCCCAGCATACCTGAGCATGCGGACAGCAAAGATGGTCCCGTCACAACTTGACAATGAGCTTATGCATGATTCCAGTCCCAAAAGATGGACTGGACTAAACTTGTAATTCTCAATATCGATCAGTAGATTCCACTCAGATCTGAGTAGGAAACTTGGTGGTTTCAATCTCCTCAGGATACCTCAGACCAGCGGAATCCCGAACTTCGTCCATAATTTCCATAACCAAGATGCTTTCATCAAGCCCTAAGAAGCTTCCTTCTTTTCTTCCTTCGATTAGAGCCCTTCCGGCATCATCAGCTTCCCAAAAGAGACCGTGACCTTCGCCCTCCGGGTGAGGCGTTAAGCCATACCCGTTGTACCATCCGCTGCCAACTCCTGGTCCCGGTTGCGGCCATTGCTTGTCTTCTACCGTGCCATCTTTCAGAACAAGTCTTGTGCGAGTGGGTCTGTAGGCAGGAGGAAACACTTGGACTTCTCCCTTGGGACCTTGAATTCGAATGTTGGGCACGATCGCATCGTTTGCGTCTGCTACAGCGTCGTTAGACAACCCCAAGGACCCTGAGGCAACTGCATGTGCCGTGCCACCGTTCTCTTGGCTCCGAGGAAACTCCAGAAGAATAGTCGTCATTGCGTCAACACCTGTGGGCGCATACTTGGCAACGGCACCCTTGACGATGGGCCGTTGTCTAAAATCGGCCGCCTGCGTGTGGTACAGCGTCTGGAAAGCCCAAGTCAAACTGTAGATCCCTCCGTCGAGAAGGATTCCACCGGCAAGACGAGGGTTGACCATGATGTGATCATCATCATCGAATAGCCCTGCGTATGGTAGGCTGTGTTCGGCCAAGACGCGTTCAACTGGTCCAAGTCGGCCCGAAGTGATCAACTCGCGAACGTAAATGGACAAAGGGAAGTACCGCGTCCACATCCCTTCCATCAGGAGGAGGTTCTTCTCCTTGGCCTTTGCGGCCAAAGCTCGAGCTTGCTTGGCGTTGACTGTGAACGCCTTCTCACAGAGGACGTTCTTTCCGGCCTCCAAACACATCATGGCGTTCTGGTAGTGGTGCGAATGGGGCGTCGCGATGTAGATCACATCGACCCTGGGATCCTGAGCGAGCTCTGAATAAGACGAGTAGGCGATTGCGTGCTCTGGCGCACCACATTCTCTTAGAAATGATTCCGCCCTCGATTTTGACGACGAAGATGCGGCAGCAACCACTTCATGGCGAATGTCCTTAACATTGCGTGTGGCGGGGTCGACCGAGAGATCCTTTCCGCTGTCGGAGATTAGCATGCTATCCATCATCTAGTGTACTGGATATGGCTTACAATGCTTTTGCGATGCCTCCAGTAGCAATGATGCCCCAGCGAATGATCTTTGGCTCAGGCATTGTCGAGTTCTGGAGTAAGGCTATTTCACTTGCAAAAGGTGGTTAGAAAGTCGAAACTTGATTTCGTTCAGCCGAGCGTGAAATTTATAGAGGCTAGTTAAACTTTGGTCACGACACCCACCATCCCAACATGACTTTGACAGTTAGGTCGGCCGATTAGCGGATATGGAAAGGCGTAGGGCGTGCTGATGATATGCAGGTAATAGGGCGCAAGGCGATGTATGCCAACGACGAAACCACGCCCTAGGAGCATGCTGACTGACATAGGCTAACTAAGCTCGGTATAACAAGTACCCATATGTGCCGAAACGGTTCAGTGATATTGCAGTGGTATTGACTTGCTTGTAATGCGTCTCCCGGCCGGCAAAAGTTGAAGTCGGGAACTTCGAAGATAAAACAAAAACCAATGGGCCCTAACCAGGGATCGAACCTGGGACCTCTCCCAGAATGGAGGAGTCTTGGAGACAACCCTAAGGGAGAATCATACCGCTAGACCATCAGGGCTTGTTGCTCTATAAAGTGCATCGTGAGATGTGGTGGATGCGTCGTTGCGGCTGCATTTTCGTTTATATAGAATGGGATGTTGAATGCGCATTTGTGGAGTTGAAGCGGGTCACGATAGGGTTGAGTTGCATGTTTGAGCTTGGACGGGCCGAGTTGCTAGGTGGGGGACAACAGTAGTGGATCGACAGAGAAACAGCACATGAAGACATTAGCGAGTGCCTGTGGCTCGCAAATCTCCAACCTATTGGATGCAGCAGTCTTCACTTTGATGAAGACCAATGTGAAGACTGAACGCCAGTCACTGGTTTACGGGTTGATCCTGGGACGGCGGCTTGACGGTTAGCAATGGAAGGCAAAGGAACGGGATTTAATGGCAGTGGACATAGATAAGGCAGCCAGGCTGTGCCGCCAATGCCATGTCCATTTGTAAAAGATGAACACGTTGCGTTATATTTCAGCCAACATGATTGGTACCAATTCATGCACAGTCAGATGATGGAAACGGTGGAGTCGGGCAGCACGTGTCTGATCAAGATGGGCGGATGGCAGGCCATTGACGTTGGATTTCCGACAACTTTTTCAATCCCCCGAACCTGGAGGGAACATCTCTGATCCCCGAGACGATCAAGCCATCAGAAAATTTCTCCCAATATGGAGGCCATAGGCATTGCTGCTAGCTTTATCGCTATTGGCCAAGCGTTGCTCGCCGGCCGCCATGTGGTGAATTTGCTTCAGGAAATCCCAAAAATCGGCAACGAGCTAGCATCGCTCAATAACGAGGTATATCCAAAGACCATTTTCCCGTGTGTCTGAGTGTAACCGTACTCTTTGGCAACACTGAGACTAATGCGGAATGCGTGTCATGCAGATTGAAAGTCTTCGAGCTGCTTTAGAGGCAGCCAACCCGCAAGGAATGCAATTCCATGACAACGAGACGGAAGGTCCAGATCTCCGGCTAGCCAGAGGTCAAATCACCGACATCTCGAATATGCTTGAGACTATCCGCCTAAAATGCATCAAGGTTGGGAAAAACGGCAAAATCAAGCCTAGGATGGCGAGATTGTTTTTGGTGCAAAACGAGCTGCAGGCGTGCCGCAGCAAGGCTCGTGACGCCAGAGAAGCCCTCAATCTTGCGCTAACCATCCTAAGTTTGAAAACAGTGTAAGTATACCTGGTTCCATCAATTCATGGGCTTGCTCCCGGACGGGCTAACACCTTTCAACCAAAGACAAACATTGCACATTGAAAATGTTGCTATAAGAACCGCTGGCTACCACGATTCGGAATCTTCTGTGGACCCTGAAATTAAAGGTTATAACACCTTGGCTAGCGGTTTTGCTTTTGGGAGCGGGTTCAGCAATGAAGAAAATCACACCAATCCCGCACAAGAAAGAGAAACAGAAGTCAGACTACTCTCTTTAATGTCTTCAGATGAACGATCATCAGACGATAAGACATTAGTTGGAATGGACATGGTCATTTGGAAAGCCAGACTCTCAGGTGCTGGCAAGTGCCCCCGACAATGTCGATGCCGCTGCCACAGCTCTCGGCCTTCGACAGTCAGATATCCTGGTTGGATCGGAACTCTCATCGGGTCTCTGTCTGTCACATATGACAAGCGCCTACTACTTAGAGGTAATAATGAGTGTACTGAGCTCAATTGCAAGAGTAACAGACGGTCTTCAGCAACGTTGGGATTCCAACTACCCACGTGGCTTTGCGCCCAATTTGTCTCTTACCAGGTTTACATGGACAGCTTTCGCGAATTACGTTATTCTTTGCGATCAGTCAGAGTGGTGCCTACAAACTATAGCACAATATTGGCCATAGAGATGCATCGCAGAGAGGCAGTCAAGGGTTCTATGCTAGCCTATGGTCATCTTTTCACAGACGACCGCATCCATCTAGGACGAGACGTCATGACGGTGAGTACTTGTGCCGAGATTGACATGGTTGATATTGTTCCATGAAATCACACGGCTAACTCAAGATTCCTCTTTAAGATTGCAATGAATTGGGCAACGCCAGATACACTGGAATTCCTGATTGAACTTTGGGCTGAGCATTTGCGCAAGGACACCTATCATCCGTGAGAGTCCATTATCGCGTAACTTGACCCGTCCAGCTAACGTCTATTTTCTCGGCGCTTCAGAAATTGGTTCTTTTCCGCCAACCGTGCACTTAGGAGACACGACTTTTCAGCCCAAAAGACAACGGCCCTTCGCCTTATAGCCTCATTCGGAGAGGACATCGTTGATGCCCCACAAACCGAGCTTCACAAAGCTGTTGACCTGGACGAACCTGCAACAAATAATCATGACTTTCAAAGAATTGTCACCAAATACCCCTGGACCATTGATCAATGGAATCACGAAGGCCTTGCACCTTTGGCTCTGGCAGCCCAAAATGGCAACCTTCACGCCGTGAGAGAGCTTGTTCGTCTAGGCTGTAACATTGATCAACCAGACTATAGAGGAGTTACTCCACTGATGGAGGCTTCTGCGAACGGACATGTCGACGTTGTACAGTTTTTACTAGATGCTGGCTGTTCGGTCAACGTTACTTCGGGGTCTGGAAATACGGCACTATTTTTCGCTGCGGATCAACTGATCGAAACAGCGCAAGACCCAGGGACTATTATGCAGATGTTACTTTCTGCAGGGGCCTCAGTCAAGATATCAAACCTTCGGGGAAACACCCCTTTGCACATGATGGGGCTTTCTGGTTCTGAAAAGCTATCTCGGCGAGCAGCAATGACCAAAATACGTCTACTTTTGGAAGCCGGGGCCGACATCAACGCCATGAGCCATGGAAAATCACGACCGTTGGAACGCGCTATCTCGTACGACCAGCCGGAGTTGATGAAGTGCCTCATTGAAGCTGGCGCTCAAGTTACGGAACTGAGTGGGAAACAAAACCTGCTACACTTAGCAGCAAAGGAGGCCCGGCTTGAAACACTACAGCACTTGGCTGACATGCAACTTCCATTTCTGAACGTAAGTCAGGAAGATGAGTGGGGGAACACGCCGTGGGATGATTTTGTACGGGTTCTACACAGCCCAGAACGGGATTTGAGTGCTTCTCGAAGGCCTACCTCTCCAGAGCAAGATGCATTTGTTACATTATACAAGAAGCTTCAAGTTCAAAGCCTGTCACTCGACATCAGCAGACTGCAGCGCATCCACCAGCATCTCGAAGGCACAACTTACCATGGAGCTTTGATGGTATTACAGTCACTGATTAGTGAAAAGAGGGACTGGAAGCAATGGGAATCGCTGCGGACATACGAAACCATTAGACTTCAAGTTCAGGAGCAGATGGTGGATGCAGCGCTCGAGTCTGTTGACGAGAACATTGAGGTATTGCAAGAGAAGATTGATGCGTCACCATGGGATCAAGTGTCATATTGGGACCCTTCAAAAGCAACAATTTCATATGGACATGAGGGCGACACCGAATCGGAATAACGAGGCCAAGGACGACGCAGAATGCGAATCAACTGAACCTGCGAACGGGACAGCCTAACCTACAAGCGACAACGGCCGAGGCTACAGGGAGTAGGATGACTGAAGCAGCGACAAGCTGACGGAGCTATAAAGACGTAGTACTTGAGCCAATACTTCCTATATCTGTTGCAGGACAGCGGGATCCTGCGTCTTCCTACTTCTTCCCTTTCACATCTCGTAGTGTACCTTTAGCAACATGCATGATATGATATATCTCCAGACGTTCAGGAACGCCTTGAGCTTCTTCTCTTTTTGTTCGGGTGTTACTCAAACGCTTTCACACACTTGTCTATGAATTACCAAATGAGTGACGACATTTTGTTCTTATCCTACCATAAGAACTCTTCAGCATCAAAGAACTCAGCCTCGAACCTGTTCTGGCGGGCATTTGATGCCACCTAAACGCACAACTCCTTGTGTTGAATATGTACACTCAGCAGGTAGTACCTCTGTCTTGATATTTGTGATTCTACATGACGTGTGCACGCCTCGAAGAGAAGCAGCGTCGTTTGGACTAAGAGATCTTCAAACTTAGGCTAATAATGCTTTTTAGCAGGAGCATGAGCAACTTACTTAACTAGTCTTTCAGGCGGCCTGGCTGACGCGCGCTTAATCAGGCTCAGCTATGACGGCAATCGACAAGTCCGCTCGGTGTTCTAGACTTTGCTTCATTCTCGCTCAGCAAGGATGGCGGGTCAAGACGATCATTGGGCCACGGTGTGAGAGTTGCAACCTTCGTTATTAAGAAACCTTCGGCGCGTCAACCACGCCCGACAGCATTCTCATTTGTGGGGAATGCTTTGAATTTACTAGGAAATACTGAGGTCTATAGTTCTCGAGATGTACGATGCTTTAGGAGTTCCAAACCCGACCCGATAAAGGAAACGCTCATGATGATGCCCACTTTCACTACGGGCTTTCGGTTTATCCCATCCACCGCAATGCCGACACCGTTAATAAAGTATGTATCGATTACGAAAACGAGGCCATGCGCGTATTCGCTGGATTATGCTTCGAAAATCCGTCGTGTCTAGACGTGTCTCAACAGCGCACTTAGGAGCGCTTGGCGGGAGTGAGGTAGACGTTAAGGGGGCCCTTCTCCCAGAGCAGGTAAATCTTCTGCTTGCCGACCCAGTCGAGGCTGTCGTCGGCAATCTTCATGTCAAAGTTGTAGAGCATGCGTGCGAGGATGATGCGCATCTCGACGTAAGCAAGGCTATAAACGCGTATACGTATTAGTAACCGTATTCCCAGTGGCCTGGCGCGTGGGAGATTACTCACTTTCTACCAATGCAGTTGCGGGGTCCGAGGTGGAAGGGTTGGAAAGCGTCCTTGTTGTCCTTAGCGAACGCCGGGTCGCCAAGCCATCTCTCGGGGTGGTAGCTCTTGGGGTCCACGAAGTTCTTCTCAGAGTAGTACATGGCCCATTGGTAGACGGAGACGGTAGTCTATGACAGGTCAGACAGAGCTTGTGATAGACGACGTGAAGATGCACTTACTCCCTCGGGAATGAACTCGTCGCAAATGGTGGCGCCTCCGGCGGGGACGACACGGGGCAGGCCGATGGGCACAGGAGGGTACATGCGGAGAGCCTCCTCCAAGCAGGCAAGGAGGTAGGGCAGGTTGCTGGAAGATACAAAGTCGATCTCGCTCTCATCCTTGAAAGCGGAGCGAACCTCGTCGGTGAGCTTCTTCATCGCGATGGGGTTCGTCAAGAGGAAGTAGGTGACGCCGGAAAGGAGGGTGGCCGTGGTCTCGGAACCACCAATGATGAGAATACTGCTGTTGGCCTTCAACTTGGGGAAAGTCATGTTCTTTTGCGGCGTTAGCTATTAAGTGAGCGTGGCAATAGAAGCGCCACTTACCCAGTCGTCCTTCTTCCTCAACAAGCCCTCAATAAGATCGGGTCGCTCGTGTCCAATGTCAATGCGGCGCTGCAGCTTGGCCGTAGTGAATTCCTCGTGCTTTTGTTGCTCGCGCTTGACGCTCTCTGGGACCAAGGCCATCATGATAGTTCCGAGGAAGGGGTAGTGGGTAATCGTCTGGAGCACGGTACCGACACGCGCCATCTGGAAAATTGCCTTCACCCAAGGGTGGTAGTCGGAGTTGTCCAAGCTGCCGAAAGCCTCGCCGAAAGCCAAGTCGCCGATGATGTCGAAGGTGGTGTAGTTGTACCAAGCGGCCAAGTCGAGAGCCTTAGCACCCTTGTCGCAATGCTCGTGGAGTCTTTGGAAGAGGAGGTCGATGTACTGCTTGATGATGGGCTGCTGGTCACGCATGCTGCGCTCGCTGAAACCGTGCGCCAGGGAGCGACGGAGGGCGGAGTGCTCCTCACGACCGGAGTTGACGATATCGGAGGGGGCGCCGGGAACGGCACGGTAGAACTTCTGCGACTTGTCCATCTCGGCACCGCCGCTAGGGCGGTGACCCATGATATCCTTCCATGCGCGGGAGTCGTGGAACGCAAGCTCGTCGGGGCCGATACGCACAACTGTGCCGTACTGTCTATGGAGGTCGAGCATATCGTAAGGCAGAGTCCCCGTGCACAGCTTGTAACAGAACGGCAGCCATGTTGCGCGCATCCAGAAGGGACCGGGGAATCTTCGGAGTGGGTGGAGGTAGAGGTTGTAGAACATGTGCCCGAAGGTGTAGAGGAAGAACTGGTTTAAGGTTTGTTAGATTACCACGATCATCGTCGGTACAGGTACCCGAGTCAACTCACCAGGCCAAATACTAGGCCGACCGTGTTGGCCAGACTAAAGGTGAGGAGCGCCATGATGCGTCTGGTGTCTTTGAAGGCCGAGATGCAACAAAAAGAGTGAAAAGGGTGTTCGAGAAAGAGCTTGAGGCCTCAGCTCCCAAACCGTCTGGTAGGGCGTTCCATCGCGCTGGTTTTATTCCTGACTTCAGACGAGAGCGAGTACGACAAGCAGCTGTCTAAGCCTTAAAGGCGGGGATTGCCCTTCTGGAGCTCCATGGGCAACAAGGCCCTCTGCTCGGGTTCTAGACGAAGTCCTATCTCTAGGTGAACATGTGCAAAGTGACACCTCCCCATCCCATGTCTCGTTCCGCCAACATTGCTTCTGCCCATTGCTCGCGCGAGCTCGACTCCACCCGCAGCGTTTCACTCGAATTACCGACGGCCAGCAAAGCGACGGCTCCCTCTCCGCGCAGTCGCGGCCCGCAGCCGGTATGAAGAGAGCGTCCATGCTTCTCTAGCAATGCCACGCTGCCCAGCATAGCACGGTGAAAGGGAGTCGGTCTCGGGTTCGCTCTCGCTCTGGATTGGTCGATACGCGCTAGACGGGATGGCTCCGCCGCTTCACTACCGAACGGCATCTGGATGACAGCTGTGGAACGAACGAATAGCCTGTCGAGGATTACGATCACCGCGGGGTTCATCGCCGTTGAGCTGGGTTTGGGAAACTGTGCCACAAGCTTGCCCTGACAGCTCATTACTCGCGTCGCGGGGGAAAAGTATGGCGGAACATTGGACGGAGGCGGGTTGACCATTGGCCCTCTCGAGTCTGCCAGCTCTGCCTGTGGCTGCGTTCAAGAACGGGTCGCAGATCACTCGTCGCGTCCCATAAAGCTGGACGAACCCCAAATTTCCGCCACACTGGCGGGACATTAGATGGCATCGACACCCCGAAAGCGACGCCGAGGTTTAAAAAAGGGGATCGACGAATTTGATGTCAACTCCGCTACGATCCAACACACCGGGGATAAGAAAACGATCTCGACGGGCGTTTAATGCTTTTCTAACTCCGCGTATCACAAACCTCATCTGCGACGCACACTTTTCCATCTCTCGGCTTGGCAGGTCGTCGAGAGGATTCACTCCTATCACAAGCACGCTGCAACAGAAACAAGAATTCGTTGACGGGGAATTTAGCCGTGTGGGGGCTCGCGTGCGCCAGGTTCGAATCCCGAGCGGCACTGATCTCGCTAATTGATCGCGTTCGATACGTGATAACAAGGGGCTGCTTAGGCAAGTCTTCGGGGTCGTCTCTGCGGATGCTGTTGCATTCAGATGCAACCAATTGATCTGCGCCATCTGTATAGCAATATTTTTCTCAAATCTTTCGATAAATCTCGTCGCGCATGTTGTGACGGTGCAGTGCAGCACCCTCGGTTTCGGATCCGCAAGCGTGAAGCCATGTGCGATGTTGCTACTCAACCGAATACGCGTATCAAGGACTTTGGGACGTGGTTATCTTCCGGTCTTTGAGACATCAACCTTCCACAACCGCAACAAACAATCGTTCGATATTTTGGCCTAGAAGTTGAGCCCGAAGGATGAAATGTCATGCTCGCGAACCTCGAACGAGATCATCGATCATTTGAACCGTCCGTCGCGACTGAAGTCAACGTGGAGCAGCCACTCGATGTGGGGCAACTGTTGGAGGTGGTACTTGGTGCAAGCAAGTACCGGGGTCGAGAACATCAAAATGACTTCATAAGCTTGTTTTTAACCCATTTTCAAGACGACTCCGCCAGAAAATTCCGGTAATTAGGATATTGACGCCGATATTTCATGTTTCCACGGTAGTATTTTTTGCATGATACAGGAAGAATTTGCGCAGTTTGTTTCACACAAAGAAGTAATACGCAGAATTGATGCCGTTAACTATGGATTCATTGCGCAGACAGGAATACCGCAACCATGCTCACGGCGTGTCTATATAGGACGTATACCAGCACCTGCCATCGGACTGAATCTTCAGCGCCTTCTTCGAAAACTAGGCCTCCTCATGCCCATTGAAATTGTAGCCTTGGGGGTGGATTCTTACAATCTCCCGCGGAACGATGTTGGAGTGGGATACCGTGCGTCGGCGTGTGTTCGAAGGCAGAATCTTTCCCCGCCATCTGATCTTCTCCTTCATCAGATAAGACCAGTATTCCCGACTAGACTGATGACAAAGTCGTTCCATTCGACCACTAATCACCAGCTCAGTCTGGATGGGTCCACCCCAAGAGAAAGGTCCGCGATTTGTTTCGTCGTAGGGAATACCATCGCAACCGTCTGTGAGCTTCTGTTGATCAATGAACCGATCGACCAGCAGCCACCTCAGAATTTTCTCATTTCCTTTCGCCGACTTGATTGCTGACTGAAAACCATTGGCTCCATTGTACGAAAGTACGGCCCCGCGACGAACGAGGTATTCGACCGATTCTTTTCGTCCGAATTCGCAAGCTGCCATCAGGGCTGAGCCAGAAGGACAACCTTCGAGGTCTATGGGGGCACCAAGCTCCAGGAGGTTTTCCATGAACAGGACTGCTCCAAGTCTAGCCCCTTTGCAGAGAGGTGCTTGACTGCCGCTGGGCACAAGATTTGCGAACTTCTGAAGCTCTTGTAGTCCGTATCTCTTCCGGAAAAGCGGATAGGCAGTCGTTAGCCAAGCCGCCTGATTCCCGGAGTATAGATGCCACGGGAAGCAGACGGAGTCTTCAAGACTTAAATTTGAGTTTAGTAGGAACGAGACAAATTTCGAGTCTCTGATCGCGTGGTGGAAAGCTGAAAGCCCTATAGAATATCCACCCTATAAGGGTCTACCCCTCGATGCATGAGGTCCGCGAACGCCACCACGTTGCCCCTTTTTGCTGTCCAGTGCGCTGGTGATTCTAAATTGTTGTTTGATGCATTGATATCAACATCCGCTTTGACCAGCGTCATCAATGTCTGTTTGCGCCAGAATTTCGCTGCCGTTATGGCTGGAGTTTCGTACCAGACATTGCGCCTTTCGAGATCTGCACCTCCTTGAATTAGATGCAAAGCAACGGCTTCGTCAGTGTTGTTGAATGGAGTGATGGCGTGATACAGCGGTGTGTTGAGCCACTTAGACTCAGCGTTGATATCAGCTCCGAACTCTAGTAATACCTGGACAGCTCCCAAGGCCCCCCAGTCTGCTGCTATGTGCAGAGGTGTCAATCCAGTTGACGCTTCAGCCTCGTTCACCAGAGAAGAAATAACTCTATCAGGATGTATAGACCAAAGTTTCCTGCATGTGGAAGTTAGTCGTTGTGCATGACAACTTAACTCAACCTTTAATACTGACCCGCAGTAGTTCTGATTATCCTTCACGTATTGGATGAGAACCCCCAATCCCTTGATGTTTCTGTTGCGCACGGCTGTTGAAACCAAGTTTGGGGTCTCTCCTAAAAACCTCCCTCCGTTTTTTGTATAGTTCTCTAGACTGGCCGGCAATACGTCCACCAATTCGGCGTCCTTGAGCACCAGGTGAATTGCTAACTCAACGGGCGTGGAGCCATTCACTGCAGTGGTCATTGAGACACTTTGCTGCAACATCCACTCAATGATCGCGATCCGTTTCTGTTTTACGGCTTGTACCAGTAGTGAGCCGCTAGCACAGTCGTTGAGATAAGTCGCGAGATCGCACCTCTTGGTATGTAAGTATTTACACATCGTCAAATCGTCCTTTTCAATTGCAATTTTGAAAGATAAGGCCAACGATCTTTTTCGACGTCGCTCGATCTCAGCATGTGTAACGCTAGAACCCGACTTGACAGTGTCAAGCAAATTCGCAAGCTCCTCATTGCTGGCTTGGCGTGCATAAAGCGCAGGCGTCATCCCGACCGAATTCTCAAACGACTTGCATCCTGCTTTGATGAGCACTCGGCAGGCCTCTATCTTGTTGCTTCTTGCAGCAAGGTGAAGGGGGGAGCTTCCATCTTTGCCACGAGCGTCGATATCGCAGCCAAGAGCGGACAAGTATTTGATATTACTGACGCGGCCCTGTGATGCTGCGAAGTGCAGCGGCGTAAAGCCTTCGTCGGACCTCACCTCAAGATCCTCCATGAGTTTGTGGTCATTGTAGAAGCATAACACGTCGGTAGACTGGCACAGGGCCCCAAGATGTAGTGCAGTGACTCCCTTGCAGAGTAGGGACATATTCTCCAAGTCGACAAAAAGACTACACTTTTTGCACCAGTCTATTCTATCGTGCCAGTCCTTTTTGGCGCCTTGTTTGATATCGTCGTAGATCTCAGTTAATACTGGTACTGCTCGACACATTGCAGCTATCAAGGCTGTGTCAAACCCGAAGTCGTCGGTCAGCGTTGGGTCAGCTCCTTTTTTGAGAATGGGTTTGACGTATCCAGAGTACCACCAGTGTTCGAAAAATTGGTAGACGGCCGCAGGTCTGTAGGGATGCTTGTCTACACGGAGATTCGGATTTGCGCCGTGATCCACGATCTTCTCAATAACCCACTCCGCACCCCACGCATTCGGCAAATGGATGAGCGCAAGCCCACTACCATCTGGAATAACCTCGTTGATGCGTGCTTTGTCGGAATGGTGGAGCAGAAGATCAAGCATTCTCTTCGCGCAATAATTTTCCTCGTCATCAGTGTCCTCTGACTTGGCGCTACACGCATGCATAAGACCGTCCAATCTTGGGGTTTTGACAAAGCTTTCCAGAGCAGACAGTCCATCGACACGTTGATGAACGCTGACTCCGTTTTGAAGCAGCAACTTGGCGTTTCTAAAGTTGTATGAATGAGCTGCCACCTGCAGTTAGAGAATGATGCCAGGAAATTCCCGAAGAGAGTCCCAATGCTGCGTCTGACGGAGGACTTCGGAAACTAAGTCTTTTAATCGAGACCAAGGTTTCGAAAGTTCCTTCAAAGTGCTGAATGGGTGCATGAGAGGAATAATTCCGGACTTCCCGAAGCAAGACTCGAAGGATTTCAAATACCCAAGCCGTATCAGATCGGTGCTTGCGTTCTCGCTAATGACCTGTCTATCATCCTTTTCAGCCAAATCTTCGCGAATGCCGGTCCATGATCTGGGCAAATGCAAGGTGCTGCTCAGTATTCGGGACATAAAGCACTCCCACGTCATCGCCTTGCTGAACTCGCTCTCGAAGCTGTCCAATATGGCTAGTTCGTCTATGATTGAGTCATTGATGCCCCTGACTCCGCTGGTTTCAAGACAGCATATCAGGTAGGATTCGAGTGGCGTGTGGCTATTGAAGCGATGTCCAGAAGACTCTGGATACAAAGCCTTCAGTCGACGGACAAGATGTAATGATGTCTGGGGGCCGAGATGATGCAAAAGAGTTTCGGTATCCTCAAAACTGAAGCTGATTCCGGATTGCAGCAGAGCATCGAAGGACGTTTCATCACCTGCCCTCACAGCGAGTGATAGTGCTGCGATTGGACTTTGAGTCATCTTCGCCGTGATTCTGGTTTGCTGGGCGAGAAGAATCGAAGCCGACCGTGCCAGCATTTTCCACAGGGATAGAGTCAGTGGAGTGTAACCATCATTGTCCATCGTCTCCATTGCTTTCTCAACGCTCTCTGTTGGCTGATACTTGAGCATGGCACGCAGTCGGAAGGGCTCAGCTATATGCAGGTGCAAAGCAGTACGTCTGTCTGGGTCCTAAAGATCGCAACGCGCACCATGATCTGCGAGTAAATGAGCTACTGCATCAAATGATTCCAACTTGCTGGTAGCGGGATTTTCCATATCATCAGTCGACCAGTCCCAACTCTGTAATGGGTCAATTCCCTTCTTGTTGGTCATTTTGACGTCACATCCTGCCTCAAGAAGCTTTTTGACGACCTCTACGTGTAGAGTCGTTATCTCTGCTCCACGGCAGCTACGCAGAGCTAGATGTAGCAGTGAATCCCCGTCGTCATTCACAATAGACGCAACTTTGAGACGTGGATCGCAAAGTATTTTTTCCAGGACCAGGGTATTTGCTACAGTGACTGCTCCTACGGCATGTTTTTCAAGCTCATCATTCGTGAGGGAAAGCTTGGTGTCAATGATCGTGGGGTTCCTGGTGAATTCGAGGTTGCAAGCAACTGCACGCTTCCATAGAACAGCGCTCATTTGATGGTATGCGGTTGATTGGTTAGAGCAACTTCCAAGGAATTCAAGAAATGCCCGAACTTCGGCCTCGTATTCCTGAAGATCGAGGTCTTCTATGTGGCGTTGCACGATAAGACTGTCAGTCTGTTCAAGACGTGCTCCCTCTCTAATGAGAGCCATCGTGACCTGAAAAGTATTCGATCTTCCGAATGCGTCGAGAGATAGCTGCACCAGGCTCATGCCAGAGAATGGATTGCAGCACTGAAGATTTAGGGGTGCCCCCTCTCGGCATAGGCACCTGATGGTATCTGCAGTGGCAATATGATCTTGTCGGTTATCTTGGACGATGGATACCCCATCCAGGGAGCCCGTTGCCCACAGGGAGTATCCGACTTGCAGGGTTTCGACCTCGCATTGCAGTGGTCGGCCCATGGGACTTTCAAGATTTACCCTGAGCCCGTGTCTCATCAAGAAGGCGCAAACCCGGGGCGGGGAAAGAGCCGCTGCCATATGCAGAGGGGTAAAGTCGGGGTCGATCATGAGCGAAACGGTTTTCTCGACACTTACTCTCGGGCTGGGTCCTGTTGCTCTGGCGAGATGAATTGCCCATGAAGTGAAGTAACAGGTTTTGGAGGGGTGGAAGAGGGAGGCCGCCAGGTCGAAGGCCGTCTCGTTCTCCCACTCTCCCCTTGCATAGTCGGGCCAATACGTAGAGGCATGCGAGTACAACGGATGAAGGCGGTTTCTGGACTGAATTTCGTCTCCTTCCGTGTCTGCCTCGATTTTGGGTTGGTGGAAATTCTGGAGCTGGATGAATTTGAGGCACTGGACTGCCAACAAAGCATACGCCCGAGGTTTTGAGACACGGATCCACTCGAATCCCAGTTGCTGCGAGGGGGCCTTCTCAAGGAATTCCAGCACTGAAAAATGAGAAAACTCCAGAGAGAGGCCATCCGTGGACTTTCGAATGAGGCTACTACAATATCGGGTAATAGACTGTTCTCGAATGATGGCCCCGGCATTAAGCGATTCCCCAGGCCCTGGAACTGACAGTATCTCTTGTAGTTGGTGGGTGGTGAGCTTTGGAGAGGCGTGAGCAATGCAATTAAGAGCTAGTTCCGTTAGGGTTTGCTTGCTCTTAGGCACTCTTCTGAGGATTCGCTCGTAGGTCTCGTCGAGGGTCGGGGGCAGCGACTTTAGGGCGTCTCGGCATTGTTGATCTGAATCGCACTCTCCAAGATGGTCCAGCTGACAGGCTACCCATCGGAACCTTCAATATGTCGTTAATCCTGAAACATAGAAGTTGAGAGCTTAGTCTCAACATAATTGAACTTACATGCCCTTGGCGCCGTTTATCAGCCCCTGGAGGATCTCTCCCTTGAGATGTAGGTTGCCTATGCGCAACCTTCTGGACCGGATTCTCTCCTCAATTTCAGCCGTGACATACTCGGTAATATCTTCCTTGTGCGCTGCAATCTCGATAGGGGTAAAGCTGCCCTCTAGTCGGCTTCGAATTTCATCCTCGTCTCTACTGAGGAGGGCAATTGAAACATCATCAGCGTCCTCCGAGATGTCAAACAGACACTCTACTACTTCGTCAGTTAATTTGCCACATTCGTCGAGGCCATCAACTACGAGATAAGTGTGATCGAACAACTCTAGTATCCTCCTCAACAACTTTTGCAGGGCCTTTCTAGTGGGTTGTTTTGGAAGGCCGTTGATGGGATGTAACTCGTCGTAGTATCGTTCAAGCATTGTATAGGCGTCTTCTTTTTGAATAGAAAGTTGATAAACTAAGGCGCCCAAGATGATCTCAATCGTGTGAGTGTCTGCTTCCTTATAATCGCAAAAGAAGAAAGCAGACGGAATAGCTTCAGTGCTTCTTTTCAGAGCTGACTCAATGATTGAGCCCGCAAGTACAGTCTTGCCCGCTCCGGGGATGCCCTTGAGCCACAACTTAGAGCCGGGTTCAGATAACCAATGCTGAAAGTCTTGGAGCTTTTGAAGCCAGATTCCGGTTCCCGACTGTCGCAGGCGTATGCTCATGTCGTAGTTCTTCTGTGGGTTGTACTTCAAGAAGAAATTCAAGACCTTAAGTCGTTCGGAGTCTTGGTGGATTCGACTAGTGATCTTCCGCGTTTCCTTGATCTCGGCCAGAATCTCTGTGGCGTGATGGCCTTCCTGGGACAAAACTCGTAGCATGGCATCCAGGGAATTGGCGGAAAGCGCTAGGTTGATGTTTTCTTTGTGTTTGGACAGATCGTCGAGCCATTCCTTCACACGGTCTTTGGTAAATGGCCACATGAGCTTCTGCTTCATCAAACTAGAAGTGGCCTCCAGCTTTTCCAGCTTCCTATTTATCTCTTTCAAAGTCTCCCTGCAGTCGTCGATATTGTGCATTCGTAGGTTTGTGTCGAAAGCATCGTCTTTCAGGACCTGTGCTGGTCGTTCGAGGCTGTTCAGGGCTCCTCCAAGGAGATTGATCTCCTGAGCGAGGTGTCGAATCTCCTCTTCTGCATTCTTGACAGATCGCCCGAACTTCACCAAGCGGGCGAAGACAATGTCGGCAAGGCCTACAAGACCCGCGATACTCGCAGCGATCGATAGAGGATCCGCCATCGCTGTTTGTGGATGAACGCGGCCTTAGGACAGCCTAGACAGAACGTGCGAGAAATGAAGAAGAGAGGGCGCACTACTCACGCACAGATTTCGGGGTAGACCTTGAACCCCCAAACTCACCTCAAGCTCTCTTCTTCAACCAGGCTGGCGTCTACACAGCCAGTCAAGCAGGACTTAAGGCGTTCTGAGGTCTTGGCTGTCAGACCTACATATGCATAATTCCCCCGCTGAACGGTTACGGCCGTCCTACCTCACTCGCTTGCCCAATTCTCCACGACATAGCGAGGGACTCCAGTCTCTTGCAGGAGAAGATATTCTGACCGCAGCTTACAGCTATTGTCAGCAAACTCACAGCTACAGTAACAGGGTCTAATTAGTTAGCTAACAATCATCGGCCGCAACGTAGGCGTTTTTGGCCGTTCAACGTTAAGTTCTGTTCAGTCTCGGCCAAAAACCTCATCTGCAGGCTTTCTTAAGAAATGACTAATCACGCATTCGTGAACTTGCTTGCGCAACACGTCATATCTGCCGGCTCGGTGAGGCTTTATCGTCCGGTAGCTTGCTGATCTAGGCTGGTTATCCACACCCTTATGCGCGTGTGAGCTGGCGCTTTTGTCGCGTCGTCGATTGAACTTTTCTGCAGGCGAATTGCGCCAGTCGCCACCTGGCTCCGGGCCGGCAGGTACACTGAAAAAGAAATTGTTCGACCGTGTTTAAGTGTTTAAGCCATCTCATTCCCGGGCATCCGTCGAGCTTCCCCACGATCCGTCCGGTCCAATGCAACCCAGCTTGATGCACCGGTTCCCGTTGCTGGCCCAGGCCGATCCTGGAGACTGAGCTGAGCAAAAAACAAGCCTTTGAGAGCACGACAACAATTAAAATAAGCCTGCATAAGTACGCCATCGGAGAAATCAATCCTCATCCTTGGTCTTATTGGATCACGGCCATCTTGAGGGTAGATGCATTTGCGCGTGGCTGGTCTAGTCAGCTGCAACTCCGGGAAAAGCCAGCGCTCGGCCTCGACGCACATCTCTAGCGGCATCTTAGTGTCTAAAGAAGCAAAACATGAGATGCACATGCAGACGTTGGAAACTTGGGATAAAGTTGAGGGGTCTTCCTCTAAGGATCAGTCCGCTCTACCCCTCTCTCTGTCACTTAAACCCCATCAACTATTATCATCTACAACACTCGATGCTATCCTGATCTAACATCTTGCGACGACTACTACATTCTCGGCGAACCGTTCAGACGAAACAGCACCTCCGGTCAGTTGAGATGCTTGACGTGACAATCGTCGGTGGCGGCATCGCTGGCCTGACCGCCGCAATCGCGCTCCGCCGCGCAGGGCACCGCGTCACTATATACGAGAAGTCGGCATTGAATAACGAGATTGGAGCGGCAATCAATGTTCAGACTAATGCTTCACGCCCTTTGGTTGCGCTCGGAATGGATCCCGTACGAGCGAGGTTCGTGCCGGCAAGAGGCAGCAAGAGACTGAAAGGGGATACTCTGGACTTAGTTCACTCGCTTGAACTTGGTGTCATCGCGGATAAGTATGGATCACCGTGGTACTTTGCGCATCGCGTCGACTTGCATCAAGAGTTGAAGCGCATGGCTACAGCGGCTGATGGCGGTCCTGCGTTGACTATCAAATTGAGGAGTGAGGTTACGAGCTACGTAAGTGTTGCGAAATGACCTGACGATGCACCTTCAATGCTTATTATCTAGGATCCCGAGAACGCTTCAATTACTCTCAGCGACGGCACAACGATCACTTCAGACCTCGTCGTGGTGGCAGACGGCATTCACAGCGCCGGCGTCGAGGCTGTTCTAGGTTCCCCGAATCCCGCATTCCCAGCTGGGCAAGACAACTTTTGTTACCGTTTTCTACTTCCCATGGAGGAAGTTCTCGGCGATCAAGAGACGGCCCCGCTGTTCGATAACGCGGGCGGCAGCGTCAGGATGTTCCTAGGAGACGGGAAGCGGATAGTGACATATCCCTGTCGAGAGTTTGTGCCCTTCACGACCAGGCTGGACACCCTTGACTGATTATGCGGTAGCGGACATGTGCTCAACTGTATTGGCATCTTCCACAATGAAGTTGGGACTTCAACCAAAGAAGGTATGTATTGCTGGGGCGGAAGTGATATCTAACTGACGTTTGATAGACTGGCACAGCCCTGTTGACAAGTCGCATCTGCTCGAGACGTTTTCCAGCTTTCACCCGAGCGTTATTGCTCTCCTGAAGTTTGTTGATGTCGTCGTTGTATCTGGCGACTTATCCGTCTGACATATAACAGCAAGGCTACCGAGGTCAAGCAATGGCCGCTGCTCTACAGAGCTCCCATACCAACATGGCGAAAGGGAAGAATGATCCTCATAGGAGACGCTGCTCACCCAATGCTCCCACGTAAGACTTGATCTCGCCGAACAAGAGTCTACCGCTTCATCACTGACCATGCAAAGACCAAGGACAGGGTGGCGCGCAAGCCATAGAAGACGGCGTAGCTATCGGCATCTGTCTAGCCAACATGTCTTCGTCCAAAGACGTACCGGAAAGGCTGGAGATGTTTGAAAGTATCAGAAGGAACAGGGCTAGTGCTGTCACCATATTTAGCAATGCAGCTCAGGATGAGGCTGAGAAGATCAGAGAGGCTGCTTCGGAATTCGTCATACCAGTTGAGAAAATTCCTAGTAAGTAGACCCCGACACAAGACTTCGGGGTCAATTTCTGACACAAAACTTTAGCAAAACCTGAGGAGTTCTACGACTTTCACTTTGATTACGACATCATCGAGGATTCTTGCCAGCATATGAGAAGGACTTACCCTGGCTTCAAACTCCCAGAAGGATTTGGCTCCGCCGCCGCCAGCAGAGCGTCTCTATGAGGCAGAACTAGGCGGGCCACCTCTAGGGACGAAATTCATTTACAATTCCTCCAAGATGCTAAACAAGTCATCCAAGTACGTAAGTAAACTACATGTCGTCACCAAAGTATACAGAACCCGCAATTACCAGCCTCGCGCAGAAACAAACCTAGCCATCCGGGCTAATACTTGGGATGTGAAGGCAAAACCTCGTCATCCCCCCACAAGTCCTGAGTCCAAGTCTGTGTCGTCGTAATATGATGCCTCTGATCCCAGCTGTCCGACATAGCGAACAGGCTGTAGTACAACCAATCATACACTCTAGTCAACGGCACATTGATCTCTCCTGCGAACCCCCCATCAGACGATACTGTCTCTTCAGCATCAGGGTCCACGGCTTGAACATCCATCGAGTGAGTGCCAGCGAACTGCCGAATGTAGATGTCTGTGTATGACATGGGCTCCTCCAACAACCATTCGAATGGCACCGTAGACATGTCAGCCACCAGGAAACAGTCTTTTCTGATTCCACTTGGGATCTGTCCGTTGTTCCTTATTTGACGGAAAATATGTCGCATGTCGGCCATTGTCGGGGTCGGTTGCTCAGGTACGGCGATGAACAACGAATTGTGCGCATCCGACAGCTCGTCCCCGCCCAGGTTTGCCCACTGATACTTCAACCCGTGAGTAGCGACCGTGTAGTAGGCTTCTTCGAACCGTGCCCAGGCGACATCATCCTTCTCTTTCTGACTCTTCGTATCGTCGTAGAAATCCTCGACATGTCCTGTCCGGAAAACGATGAATCCCCAATCTTCCATGTTTGCATCGACCATCTCCTGGAGCCAGGTAGGTCGCTGCAAGTCCTTGGCAGCTTCAAGACGGGTTCTCATATCCGCCTCGACACCCCATTCGCGCTTCATCTGCCGGTCGAGCCTGAGCTGTTGGGCACGGTTGGTAGCCGCTATGACGCCGAGAAACTCTGTGAAGCTCTCCTCCTGGTCCACCGTTTCTTTGACTTTGCCCCGGGCGTCTTCCTCCAGTTTCTCATGCTCAGGCGTCAATCTGTCGAGTGCATTGCGGGGCGGCGTTTTCATCGTTTTCTCGATGAATTCGCATTCCTCCAGCGTGAGCTCATACGGGGCGTCGTGGGCCTTTTTGATGAGTTTCTGGATGCTTCGGCCGAAAAGATTGACAGACTCTTCATTGTCTTCGTCTTTGATGGGTGCGCGGCCCATGACCTGGCGTTTCTCGTTGAAACTGAGGGCGGAAGGGTCTTCCATGGCTCGGATGTAGAGGGCGTGCGTGTCTGGTGATAGTTGCATAGTGCCGACAGCGGGATAAGCCGCCGCATCGGGCAACATCATTGAAGCGTCTGTGGACATTCCGGAACCCATTGCAGCTCTGGCCAAAGGTATAGACAATCCAGTACTGAGTGTTCTGAACGGGATGCGCAAAAGATTTGGGATCCGATACATTGCAAAGGATAATGGAAAGAATCTTGCTGGAGGTTGGCAGACGGGGGAGTTTTAATGCCTTTAACTTGGACGCACGATAGCTTAACCGAGGTGGACCTGTTGGTTAGGCAGCCGTGGCCTTGGCTGTTGGTTGTGTTGGTGATTTTGAACCAACAACCCTGCAAGTCAAAAACCTCTAGCACGAATGCAGTGAAGCAATTTCGCTTGGGCTTTATTCATTGGGGCGCTTTCCGTTCTCAACACTGTTCCAACCTGAGTGTAGGTTCGGTACCGTATACGCCCGTATCATTTTTACAAGCCATCGGTGCGGGCGACCAACGAGACGATGGCGGTGTGTCGATTTCAGGCATCATCTGGATACCATTAAAGTTTCTGAGTCATAGATCAACTTTTACCAACGGGTGGTTGGAAGTTTGTGCTGTATTGTATAGCTCCGGAGTGCACCGCATCATATTCGGCCTCATCGCTCGGCCCGGCCCCACTGGTGTGCCGGCGATCGCCGGAAGGTGAAAGTTGAGGCAGTTATCGTGGAGAAAACGCGCCTGCACATCGAATGTTCCCTCGGACCTTCTTGTAGGACAACGTAACGAGCGGAAGAAAGTACCTACCTACCTTCCCCCACGGCAGTTTCCTTCTTCAATAAAACCACCTCAAGAGAAGGCGCGTCCTTCCCATGGTTTAGAAGGTGTTTCCTTGGCAGGCTTTCCGACTCCATGTTTCTGACGCTCCAACGTCCAACCTTTCGATTGTACACCGTCCACTTCTCTTGAACCATTGCTCCAACGTCGGCCCAACCACAACCGCATATCACAAACTCTCTACCAATTTATTCTTTACCATATCAGACCGTTGGCCGTATCGTGCAGCAGTATTCACCTCTCCACACACCATCGCACCTTGCCCGGGGCACTCGATCACGCATCGTCAACCATTTCCCCAACATGGCGAGCCCAGACAACTACCATCAGTCTCCATGGGGTGCCAACGGGACGGCATTCGGAACGCATCCCCTCATTGTGGGCGACACCGCCCTCGAGTTCTGGCTGTCGTTCCTGGCATTCTCCGTCATCTTCTTCATCATTCCAATCTTGCTCTGGTGCGCGTACGTTCGCCTACGAAACAACACCCGCATCAAGAATGACGAACTATGTGGCAAGGAAGACTCTTGTCACAGCACCCATCTCCGAGCGATGGACCTTTGGATGCTCTTCGCCTTTATCGTCCTCGGCCCCGTGGTGGTAGCCGCTGCGATTATTTCCGTCATCATTGTCATCCCACACCGGCTGTTCACGGGTCTCACGCGAAGAGGTAACATCAAGGCAAGATTTTACAGGCAGAGGGAGAGACTTTCTGCTAACTATACCCAGGGTGATGCGCACCGTATTCAATGTACGGCGCACGCTGCTCACGGGGTTTGTGGACATAGTTGCAGCCACGTTGGGCATACTCAAGGAATTGACCTAAACGTGTTTGTGGCGCCGGGCGTCAAAAAGCAGCCAGACGACAAGTAAACGGAACGCAACACGGACAGGCGAGACAAGGTACTGGACAGAATAGTCTTTCAAGTAGTCCTACAGCTACACCTCGAGCATCACCCTTCAGGGGAATAAACTCGTTGCACAGCTCTTTCATGTGCAGCATGCAACAGTTCCTTCTCGCGTTTATGCCGTCTCCTCATTTCCCTCGCCTCAAATGGCAAGTGTTCTTCGTAAAGTGCTTCCCTGGCCTCTTTCTGGTCGATATAGAACCCGGCAAGGAGCAAGAAGTAACAGCCGATGGGTATCAACATCCTCCACAGCATCCACGAGGTCGTCGGTTCCGTGACGTACCACAGCACCGTCGCAATCGGTATAAAACACAGACTCAGACTTGCGACGAGTGCCATGGCCGTCCCCGGTTCTGACCCGATAATATTCCTCGACCCCATCGCAACGTGGAAGGCCTTGAGCTCTGCATGCCATTTGAAATCCCGGTCATGCGCCGCCTCCATCTCGGATAGCTTGGCCAGGTATGCTTCCACGGCGTACACCACCCTCGAATGCCTCTCCTCAAACGGTGTCTCCGCCTCTGCCGCCTCAGCAAACAGAGTCTCGAGCTCGTTCCTAGCTTGCTCGACTAGTGCAGCATGCCGTCGGTCATCCAGGGGGTCTTTCGTTGGGCTTGGTGGTGGGAGCGTCATGTCACCAACAACAGTTGGGCCATCCCCAAAGAAGCTTCCGTCGATGAAATCCGGAAACCTCTCAATAAAGTCATCCTCAGCTTCGTCGTCCGCATAATCCTCCACGTCGCTTTCCGTATCTTCAGTAATCTCATCCAAGAGTCTGGACTCAAATCGGTACGAGCCCCCGTCGGCTCCCTCACTCGCAAACATCTCACAGATCCTCACAAGCGCGCCAACACACTTCGCCCCCAGTTTCCTCCTCCTCCTCCCCCTCTCCTTCTTCTCATAAACCCTCCCAATGGTATCAATACACCTCTCCACAACCCTGAATCTCTCAGTGTTGCCCTCCCCGCCAACAATCGCCTTCTCAGCGCTCTCCTTCGCCATCACCCTCAACTCATCAATCGCCCCCTCAACCCTCTCCATCCTCTCCTCCAACCCCCCCTCGGTCTCGCTCTCCGTCGCGCTCCCAGGTTCCTCATCCAACCTCCCCAGCTCCTCGTCCAACCTCTCCGGCACCCTCGGAAACGACGACGAAAAGTTCATCTGCGGCGGCGGGTGGAACGGGCTCGGCGCCGTATTCGGCCTCTTCATCCCAGGCGACACCACCGACAGCGGGCTCGGCGCCGCGTTCAGCACGCTCACGCTCGACCGCCGCTGGATCTCCCGCCACCCCTCCACCATCTTCTTCATGAAGTCCGCCTGCTCCGGCATCAGCTTGACCACGTCGTCCGCCGCGCCCTGCAGGAAATCGGGCGTCAGCACCGGACACGTCGAGCTGCGCCGGAACGGCGGCGGCACCACCACCGACCGCGCCGTCCCGGGCCGGCTGCTGCTGGTGCACTCCGCCTCGTCGTCGCTGGCGTACGCATGATGCCCCGCCCCGCGCGCATAGTCAATCCTAGCAAACTTGCGCGTGCTCGTGCTAGCGGGAAAGGGCTTCAGCAGCGGCGGAAACTCCTCGGGCACCTCGTCGTCTTCGTCGAAGAAGCTGTCCTGCGACGACTTGCGCGACGACATGGGCGTCGCCAGGGTCCTCTGGTCGTCGTCCTCTTCCTCCTCGCTGTCGTCGTAGTCCCTCTCCTCATCGTCGTCCGTCGAGGACATGAAATCGCCCAGCTCGTCGGAGAGGCTGCGCGGGGGGAACTGAGGGGCGGGGGATCCCTGGCGGGGGCTGCGTGGGTGATCCCTCATGATGATGTGCGTTGGCTGCTGTGTTGTGTTGGTCGCACTGCGTTATGTCGTGTAATCGTTAAAAGTCGTCGTGAAAATAATTGGTCCGTTAAGAAGCGACAAAAGAAAAGATGCAAAAAAGTCCCGCTAAGTGTGAAAAGTAAGGATGCAGGTTGGGATGAGGGATGGAGAATGGGTTTAAAGTCGTCGTCCTTTCGTCTTTACACCTCCTGAATCTCGCAAAGGGCTGGGCCGGGACGGATGAGGAGAGCAAGCGCAAGAGCAGCGCGGGGTGAGTGGTGAGGTTGTGCAAGGGTCCTGGGACTCCTCCTCGCGAAGCGGTGAGAGAGGGTCAAGGGGGCGGCTCAAGGTGAAAAGGCCGCAAACTCGGCTTTTGCGTGTACACACACCCCTTGCTGCTTCGCACTGACTTGACAGATAAATCCGAATGATGGAAGACGCAAGGGAAAAGATCTGCGCTTCAAGCCGAAGGAGAGATCCTTTGTAAAAACTCCCCGCCGAAAGGACGGAACGAAAGAAATTCCAAAATAATAGAGACGAAACTGCGACCTTTGTGCGCGCAGCGTTGAGAAGTATATCGGAGAAGCGTCGCGGGACCTGCAGGAAAGGAAGCGCGTGTTTCCGATCGGCGGTCAAGTTAAACTTCGGTGAGGGGGACTTTGCAACCACACAATAGCAGCAGCGGCATCAGCAGCAGTCACGAGCAGCAGCAAGCAGACTGTAGCAGTGACAAGAGGCGAAGAAAAAGGCACGGACGGGGCGCTCGCTGGATACATACAGCACGCAGCACATCAAAAGGAGGGGACGAAGTATCCCCCGGCCAGGGTCTTATGTCTGGCGAACGAACCATGGGCCCTGGACCTTTGGGGCAGAGGGGCAGGGCCGCATGCCAGCCCAAGGGAGGGGAAGCGAGAGACAAGAGGGAGAAAACGGGTTAGTTCCTGCGCACGACGATGGCGCGAACTGCCACGAGGGGAAGCGCCGATGGATGGATTGGTCTGGTCTGCTGCTATCTGCCTGTTCGTGTGTGTGGATTCTTCAAAGTTCGAGTTGCAGTGCAGCAGCACCGGCGGCGGCGAACATCGTTGGTCTTGCGCGGTGTTGGGTCTTCAGCTGGGCCTGGGCTGGATCTCTCTCTCTCTCCCTTTTTTTGCGTCTCGCGTGAGCATGACCCTGGTCGCGAGTGAGCCTTTTCCCTCTCGGGCGTCCCGCCATGGATTGTTCTGAATAAAGTCGATTTTCACTTCGCAGATGCAGAGAGGAGGGGGGTTCGAGGCAAGCCGTGCCCTTCACATCGATTCGTCATGGAAATGAAAGAGAACGAGTACTCGTCTGATGTTGTTTGCTGTTGTCTATTCTGAAGCTCATGTTGATTCCGTCTTCCGTGTCGTACATATCTCTCAAACGCCTAAGCCAGCGCCCCAGTGGTATCATTTTGGAATGCAATTTTTCTCTTTCCGTATCCATAAAATGTGCAGATTGCCACGTCAGTTGTTCCCTGCAATTGCAGTCCAACGCCGCAGCCGCCGTGCTATCCCCACACACCGCTTCCAGTGTCGCTCCAAATGGGGGCGGGCCCCATCGCTTCAGCGGCTTTTTTCTGCTCCCAGCCACCGGATGAACCATCCGCGCCCGCGCCCTCGCCCGTCCGCCGCCGCGACGGTGACGGGCAGATGTCAGACACACAGTTGACAGAACGCCGCCGGCTCCAAGTCTCCAGACACGAGCCGCCGTCAGCCCTTAGCTGTAACTGTACTGGATCCCGAGTCCGACCTTGGGATCCTCCACAGAGCCGCCGCTCATGCGCATCCGCTTCAGCGTCTCTTGCGCGTTAGGCGCACCCCCACTGAACTTGCGCTTGTCTGCTGTCGTGTGACCCTTGGTGATGCCGGGGAACAGCTTCGCCTGAAGTCGTGCGCTCTTCTCCGCCGGCGCCGGGGTGCCATCGCGTGAGCCTACCGAAGACGCCACCTCGAAGCTCTCCCGAGGATCGCGACGGAGCATTTCAGAGGCGGCTTGGCTAGCTTGGCTCTCTGAGACATCCTCATCGTCCTCGCCCGTCGGGAGAGGCTTGCGGAAGCTGCGTGACGCATTTCGTGACGCCTGTGACAAGTTTGCGACTGACTCTAACGCCTGGCGAGCGAGCTCCTCGTTGTCATCCGCAGAGATGGTGCTCTCGCGGCTCTTGCGGGTAGGCTCGCGCACAGCTGGCGGCGGCGTGCCAGGGATGATTTGAGCCCTGGTGTAGCTGTGCCGCGGCTCGCTCTGGGGCACGAGGTTGACCGATGGCAACAGGCCAGACTGCTCGTGCCGCTGAGGGCGGGAAAGCGGCGTCGTAGGTAGAGATGATAGCGACTGGGCGTTTCGGGTGTGCTTGGGAGGCATGCGGGGCGCGGGTCTGACCGTGGTGGTAGGTGTCGACGGCGCGCTGTTGTTGTCCTGGCTGAGTGCCTGCAGCAGAGCCGCAATGGGCTCGGGGCCATGGTCCCGATCGACCCGTGCATCGCGGTGCGCAGATCGCGGGGTCTGCTTGGGGGTAGCGCGGTGAGCCTGCTGCGGAGTTGAGACGGACGTCTGGTGCTGCGGCTGCTGTCTGGGCGTCATGGCACCGTGGAAGATGCCACCTGGGCTGCACAGCATGTGAAAATGCTCCCGGTTCTCCCGAATGCGGTTCAGCATCATGTCGCGCTCCTCCGTCAAGCTCACAATCTCCTCTTCCTTCTGGGAGATGACCTTCTTCGCCATCTTGACTCGTCGGGATAGGGCCTCGTTCTCGACGATGGACTCCTCGTACCACATCTTCATCTGCAGGTACTTCATCTGTGCCGATTCGGAAGCGGCGCTGAGCTCACGTACGGCCTGCCGCGAGTACTCGGCGGTCCTAAGGGCCTCGATCTCTCGGCGGGTCATCTCGTGCTCGACGGCAGCCCGCTTCGCATCTTCGTCAGCCTGAAGGCTAAGTAGGTTGTATTGTAGCTTGTGATGGGCCGCCTCCATCTTCAACTTGGCATGCTCGGCGATGCAGGTCTGCATCATGGCTCGTAGTTCATCGGCGGTAGCATCGAGGACCTGCTTCGGGGCCGGGGGAACGTATTCAGATCCAAGACCGCCGTCTCGGCGGACGGTCGTGTTGAAGCCGGTAGCAGGCGGGGAGAAGAGGGCAGAGCGCTGGGAGCCGCCGTAGGTAGCTTGCAGAACTCCGTTGCCAGCATGTGCGACGACCTGGGAGGAGGGAGGCGGTGTCAAAGAAGACGGGATGACGGCGGCGGAGCTCATTCGGTCGTCGTTGACTTCAGTCTTGAAGGATTGATTTGGGTCCATGGGAGAGGCGGGGACTTCAGTCGACGGGAGGGTAACTTGGGACGAATTCACAGCGAGGATATCGTTGTCTTGAGGCGTCGTGGGCTCGTCGGCAACGGACCTGGTGTCGGTCGGGGTGCCGTTGGGCAGCTGGGCACCAGCGTCGGACGCAGCCATCTTGGATCGTGACGCAGCAAGCGACGAATGAGCGGCAGACCAGCGTCGAAGGGGTAGAAATGTATCGAATTGTATGGTCGAGATTGATCGAAAAGCTGCGACTCTCCTTTGTGAGTGTCAATTCGAAAGTCGACGCGGGCGGGGGCGGAGAAATGTCGCGTTGAGCGCAACACCACGTCAGCGATGGAACCAGGGCGGAGAGAAAATAATAGAGGCGACCGGCGGTAAATGCTGATGCAGGCTGGATGGAGACGATGAGTGCCGGACGCAGCGATCGATATAAAGGATGAGGGTGGCAGGGGGAAAGGGGGAAACGAGGTCAAAGATGTTCTATCGCATGCTTGAGCCTTTGTCCGCACGGGTGGTGGTGGTGCTGTGCGTTGTGTATGGTGCGTGTGGTGTGTGGTGTGTGGTGGTGGGAAAGGTGGATGGCCGACGGGGACGGTGATGGTTGTCGGGCGGTTGCTGTGGGAGCAAATGAAATGGGCGATCAGCACAAGCAGCCAGCACTGGCACCAGCAGTGACTGTGAATTGACGGGGAACCAGCAGCGGCGGCTGGGCTGGGGACGGGGGAAAATCCACGGAAAAAAGAGGCTGGCGGTGGACGTGAGTGGGTGTTTCCAGCCGAAGCTAAGCCCAAAGCAGAGCTCCCGCGACCCTCGGTGAGGAGCATTGGCCAAGTCTGAGTACCGGGATCGTGTCATTGGCTGCTTCACCGAAGCGAGAGTTGTGCTTCTTTGTCTTCATATTTTGTGCTAATTGTGCTAACCATCTCACCGAAGCCCCCAGAGGCTGGGAACAGGAAGCTGATTGCAGTCCGTCGCGACCTCCAACCTCCAGACGCCTCAATAGGCATGATGCATACAATCGCTAATCTTAACTAAGCCTTGAGGTATCCGAGAATAATCTCCTTGAACTGGTCATACCCGTCAACGAAGGGGACGTGACCCGCGTTCTTGATCACCTTGAGCTCAATCTTGTTGTCCTTGCCCGCTGCCCTGAATCCCCCCTCCACCTTCTGCCGCATCTCCTTCATGGCTTCGGGCAGGTTGGCGTCCTTGTCGCCAACAACCAGCAGCGCCTCGTCAACACCGGCTCCGACCTTGCCAAACAGCGGCCGGATGTCGAAGCTGTCGCTCCGCAGCGCGTGACAGCACGTCGCGAACCCGTCCACGCTGGTCTGGTTCATGATGCCGCGCACCCGGTCCGCCTCGTCGGGGTTCGCCTTGACCCATTCCTGGCCGAACCACCGGTCTATCGTGCCCTCAACTTGCTCCTGCATGTTGCCGGCCTCCCGCGCCTGCTGAGCCCGCGGTGCGAACAGATCATCCACACCGGCGTTCTTGGGAGATGCCGCGATGGTGTCGCAGATGGCCACCTTGTGCACGATGCCGGGGTACTTGTTCACAAAGTAGAAGCTGGTCGCGGCACCCATTGAGACTCCAATCCAGGCAAAGACCTTCTCAATCTTGAGAGCCTGCAGCAGGTGGTAGACATCATCGGCAATTGACTCAAAGGTCGTGTCGAGGTTCTTGGGGGCTGAGGACTGGCCGTGGCCCGGCTGGTCAAAGCGAAGCGTGCGGAAGCCGTTCTCTGCGAGGAACTTGGCGACGTGGTCCCAGACCCGGAACGGCGCCGACAGCGAGTTCGCCAGCAGCACAAGGGGCTCGTCGCCTTGGCTAGACAAGTGGTACGAGAGAATTCGCCCGTCCGGAAGGTTGACTTGCTGCGTGGTGACCATCGTGATGTTGTCTTCGTTTATCGGATGCCGGCTTCCGGGTGGTCAAGTTGGATTCCTTCGAATGGGTTTGGGGACTCTTAAGTACCAATGAGCAGACAATGGGTCGAAAGAATGAAAGGCGGTAAGTTTCACGAGCGGTCAGACGTTTGTAGTTGATGAATGGGGAGAAGTTGCAACTTGAATGGCCTTTAAGACCTTCACGTCATTCGTCATGTGACGTCGCGGGGTCAAGCTCCGGTAATTGGCGATGGCAGGAGCTTAGGAACTTCCGAACGTGGTGGGGGAGGAGCTCCCGTCCCTGCAGCAGTCACACAGCTTCCTGGATGGAACCCCTTCGTAAAACAGAGCGCTTGCAAGTGCATTGAAACCAACAGTACTTTGAGTACAATGCGACATCGCGTCAGAACAAATACTTCAAGTGTTGTCTTGAGCAAAAGACTGCTGCGCAAACATGACATGAGAGGGAGCTTCCAGGAAGGGAAGGTGGGGTACCTATGCACGGGCATCATATACACACCTTGCATCAATTTTCCCATCGAATTCGATTGGTCAAGGTGCCAGAGTGGTTAATGGGCTGCCCTGCTATCAGTTCTCTGATGTCAGGTTAGGCAGTGGCTTCGGTCGCGCAGGTTCGAATCCTGTCCTTGACGTTCTCTTTTGCTTTTTATCTGTGCTACTAATGCGTGGCTGTTCTCTTAAACACTTTTTTTTTGTTTTTGCTTGCAATTCCCGTTCTTTCCTGCATTACTTGACAGGGTTTGAGGACCTTGCTTGTGGGATTGAATCTGTAGCTAGGCTGAGGAGAATCGCAGATGAGTGTGGCATTCAGCCGGATTTGTAGGAGATCTATGAGAACGTCAAATAATCGCATGTTACTCGCTGTAAGCCATGATGGTTCATGCAGAACCTCATTCCGATCATAGCTGCAGACATTAGCATACCCTCAGCCCAGTTCCAGAAATCCGCACCTACCAGCTTCAGTCCGGATGTCCACGCAAGTCTTGTCCCATTCAACAGTGCTCGACTCTTCTTCGGTCGTCCTTGCAGTTTCCGAAAAGCCATTCTCACATGCCTCGAGTCAACCGGCTTCCTCGCCCCTTCCGGTTCCGAAAACAAACCCCCTTGCCGCTTCTGCACTCTCTCGGTGCCGACTTGGCCATCAAGATACGCCAGCTCCTGGCCCTGCACTTTCAACGCTTCGGCGGTGAGACTCTGCACCATCTCAGAAGTCAAGAAACCCAGGATGTCCATGACATCGTCGTTGGGCTTGTTCTCCGCGATGACGCCTAGCCCGCACCACTCCCTGAAGCGCTTCGCTTTGCGGTAGGTGAGCGATGCGTGGCGGTACTCAGACCAAGTGGCGTACTCGGCCACAGTCATGTCCCTTGTTCGCTCGTCGTTCCTCCGAAGCTTCTCCAGCGCGGCCTCGCTGCTGGTGATGTCGGTGATGTCCTCCGGCGCCTCTGCGACCTGCTCCGAGAAGAACGAAGACACATCCCACGGGAGGGAGACGGTAGGAAACTTGCCTTTGGCTGCGGGTGCCTCGTCAGTTGGTGCGGCTTCTTCCATGTCTGCTTCATCGACGAAGCCCTCCTTGTCGTCCGAGTCTTTGACAGTCTTGCGGATGGCTTTCCAGGTAAGAAAGGTGCGCAGGCGTTCTACGCGGGCGGTGTCGTGGCGGAACTGGAAGATCAGGTCGTTGTTGGAGAAGACGCGGGAGCCGCGGCGGCTGGCGAGGTCGTTTGCGGTCTTCAGCTGTGAAGCTGTTAGGTGTGGATAGGGGACGGGTGGATGAGCTATACCATGTGGACGACCTGATCGAGGATGACATCTTCGATGAGCTTGATGGTTTGTATTGAGACATCTTGCGTTTCTCCAGCGATATACATCATCTAGAGGTGAAGCAGATGAGTCGAGGCATGATGAAAGATGGGCAAGCTGATAGGCTATCAGGGAAACAGACGAATTATTGTACGAGTGAAAGGCAGGAAACAAGTATTGAAAGGGGAATTCAACATGACGGAAAGTTTTCAGTCGGCGTACCTGCTGAATTTCTTGCTTGAATTTGGCCTCCATCATGAAAGCCCATAAGACATCGGAATTCGGGGTGTCAAAATCAAACCGCAATAACATGCAGCAACAAGAGAGGGCGAGGCAGATCTTCACAAGCAACGAATAAAATAGTGACTGCATATGAAAGCGCCCCAATAGACAAATCATCTGTAGTATTTCAGGAGCATTATAACAGTTGCTGGTATTGTAAAGTCCATGTTAGGCATTTTATAGCGGTGTTTTACTGCGTATAAGTGCGAAGGAGCTTATTTGCACTGTATGAGTCGAGGGTGCTTGGAGCTGTTGATGAATGGGGGAGTTGGAGAGGAAATTCGTTGTCCTAACGGCGCGGGGACAGGCCTACTTCGATAAAATACAGCGGCAGAAGCTCGGCCCAGCTGGGGAAATAACCCTTACCCAAAGGATCTCATCAACGATTGGTTCTCTTCAACTTCCCTCTCCACTTCACATGGCTGACACAGTGCAGCATTCACGCACCCCATATCTTCCCAACTTACAGCTCCATGCCATGCTGGATTTACAGCTGACATTTACGCGACACGACCCTGGACCATTCACTTTGGTTTTCTATATGTGGTGTTCAATGTCCAGAACACACACTTTGCCATCCGCGTGATCCTCGGAAATAAAGTCAAGGGTTTTTCTACCATCCAACGTAAAAAGATTCCAGTACCATGGGAAATACGCCAGTCCTTGATTCCCGCAACTTCTCACAACTCAGAACTAAAAGCAGATGCTTAGCAATATGTTCACATCCCATGTTTCGTTTAAGGACTCTGATTGGAAGTGCTGGTTGCAAGGCGTTTTCGCCGCGCCTCACCTGGCGTGACATCGAGCCTGACCTCAGTTAAACATCCTGCGCGGTCTTTTCCAGGTCTCGCACACCCATTCACCCATCGAGACGATCTGACTGGCCAGATGCAAAGTACTTTGCCCCGCTTCTGAATTGTTGGCTCAGCTTCTTTTGAGAATGCACCTCGTAAATGAGGACTAAAGTCCCAAGGCGAATCAAAATGCATTTTGGCCAGGCTGCCTCGGCCAGTTGTCTGGCGGTACTATGTGAACGCCAACATTTCATAAAAAGTCTGGAGTCTCCCCGACCGGCACCTACATGGTATTATCAGAAGACTATATGACAACATGTTCTAGCCGCGAATTCTTTGTCTGTTTTGTTCGACTCAACTGAGCCTCTGGGCACTCTCTGTCTACCCAGTGGCTTGCAGACCCTCGCCGTAATGCCTCTTTCAGAAGGCTGTGATGGAGGACCTTCTCCAGCGCCCAGCGTCGGCATCATGCACCATCTAAGTTCGCGGCTCCGAACCCCCAATTCGCCGATTGCAGCAGGATGCCTCCGAAATAAAATGTCCATTGAGTCAGCCCGAGATTCAGCTGCTAGTCATCCTTCACAAACGAAACAGAGCGTGCAGCCTTTTCTTCGAGCAGCGCGACTTCATTCGAATTCTGAATGGGAAAAGATGAAGGATACCATTCAGCATCTCTACCTTGATCTAGATTTGACTTTAGAGGAAGTTGTTGAAGTATTGTCGAAGGAGAAGAACTTCCATACCAAGTAAGTAACGGCTCATAACAGTATTTAGCCGCCGCAGAGCGTGTTTTCTAACTCGCACTTGAACAGTGGCAGGATGTGTAAAACTCGATTGAAAAAATGGGGCTTCACGAAGAACTGTAGCAGGAATAGGATGAGCAGCTTTTGCCGTCTTGTGAGGCCAGCAAGATCCCAAAATGTTCCGGGACGCGCGGCCTTGCACGCAAGCAAATTGAAGCGAAACAACTCTGGTCTTCTTGGATTTGACAACATGGACACGCGAGAGGACAATACTTCCGTGGAAGGACACACAGAGAGCCAGTCTCAGCATGAGCAAAATTACTGGGAGCCCAGGGAACTCATCGACAAAGAAGCCTTTGTTTCGGGCCCATTCGAGCTTGAAGCGCTGAGTCCCTTGCTCGAACTTGATGCGGTGAGGCACCCCAATCAGCATGATGTATTGGATCTCCCGTCGGACCGAACCGCCCTGCACATAGAGCAAAGCTCAGCAGCAACCAATCAGCAATCTCGCAGATCCTCGGCCAGTACGGCCGTAGATAAGCAAGAATCACTCGAGTCTCAGGTACATCAACTGTGTACCGGCTTCGATCCTGACACCCACTGTGACGAAGAAAGAGACACCAAAACTCAGTTAGGCCCACCATTCATTTATGAAGGAGGTTGTCCTTACCAGTTTGGCCAGAAGAAGTTTCGTTTGATTGAGATGTAAGTGGAGCATGCAAGATCAATAGATCTGTTATCTATTAAAGCTAACCGACAATAGGGATGGCGAATCGGCTTTTGACTCGCTTGGCTATGGCTCATATATCAGGGTTTCTGATACGAGAACATGTACAGCCACGTGCGGGTGCATGCGCTCTCACTTTCCTTCTGCCTTCTCCTTTATCGTCAAGAATACTATCGACGGCATACGCGTCAACATCCTCAGCGTCAGTCTGTGGGAAGAAGTCATGAAGGTATTACCCAGCCACATGAGGCCGACGGGACGAGACCGCGAAATTGATGGCCATATCTTGTTTCGATTGAAGTTTGGATTGAAAATTCACCTGGAAAACGTCTACTCTCGAATCCTTCAAAAGCAAACATACGCAGTACAGAACTCGCCGTCATTAGAGTTGGAACTTCTCGTCCATGGCTTTCTCGACGATGATTGCTTTTGGCAACGCCATAACATCGACGATAACCGAATACAATCTCATCTCAACTCGCATCCTGCAGAAAAGTCAGACTTTGACGGCGGTTCCACTGACGAAGATCTCTCGAAACCAAAGCTTACGGACTTCAGTCCCTGGAAAAAGCTCCGAGCGCAATGGAAAAGCCGTTGGGGAAATGCCAACCTCGAGACCAAAATTGACCGGCTCGTCAACGCATTCCGGAGCACTGACGAAACTTACGAGCCGGAGTTCAAGCCAAGTTTGAAGTCCAGACCGACGATGTATCAATTCAAACCTACACCCTCAGAGATTGATGACATGTCCGTTGATCCTCTGATGATGAGCCCATGCCCTCGGCCTGTCCAACGTGGATTCCCCGGCATATCTGTTCTCGATGATGATGTGCTTGATCTTAATGAAGGCAGTGATGGCTTGGAACTCCGCAACAAAATCATTGAGCCCAATGACGATATGTTTGAGTTGTACTCCGGTGAGCTCATAACTCATGAAGACCTCAACGCCTCCAGAGCCAAGAGCCTGCAGGCCGTTTTTCCAAGTGCGAAAGACCCGGAGTTCAGCCCGAGTTTTGGCAAGAAGTTAGCTGAAGTCCGCTTCAGCGTGAACGACTGGATTATGAACGCCGCTATGAATGGAGAATTTGGCCTTGTGCAAACGCTTCTTAATTTAGGAACGGATACTGAAGGCAAGTAACGCACATAGCCTCGTAGAGTAAGTAAACGACTAACGCCACATTCAGATTTCAATGATTTCCGTCAAGACCCGGCTTTGTGCATTGCCGCAGAGCATGGAGAGATTCGGATTGTCAGAGCCCTTGTGGAGCGAGGAGTTGAGGTCAATATACGAGACACGCAAGGGAGGACGCCCATACAAGTCGCTGCAGCAGGTGGACATCGGGAAATTGTTGGTCTACTTCTATCTCATGGTGCAGAACTTACCACTCGAAGAGGGCAAGCATCACTTCTAAGCATTCCCGCGGCAGGTGGACACCATGAAGTTGTTCGACTTATTCTCAATAGCTCACAGCACCGTTCATCAGCATCAAGATCTAAAGAAATGGAAGAGGCATTGGTGCTCGCGGCGAGGAATGGGAGTTCAGAGACGATGCAAGCCCTACTCGACCATGGTGCTAAGACGAATTGTCTGCTTTCAACGCCGGGGACCGAGTTGCAGTCTGCGTTGATAGGGGCTGCAGAAACCGGCAATTGTGAAGTGGTGGGTCTCCTGCTCCAGACCAGTGTGGATGTCAGTGGTTTGGATCATCGCGGCACTGCACTTAGTGTTGCCGTCAGCAAGGATCACGATGCTGTGATCCATATGCTTCTGCACCGGGCTGGAGATCAGGTTCTGGCGGCTATTCGGCACATACGGTCCCGTGGAAGACGAAGACATATTACGAAGCTTCTCAGAATCGTTTCACAGTTTCGAAGAGATCGACAAGAGGGGCGGAGCTCTCGTCACAAAGACCTCGTATCAGCGAATATGCACACCCTCCGAAAACACATCATCAACCAACATTCTATTATGGTATCATCGGCATCGGGATCTTCTACAGGATTCAGGAGGCTATCGCCGTCATTTCCTCATTATCGAGACACATGGGACGCCGGCATCAACACCATGCGAAATCTCTGCGGAGGGCATTCTCCCAAAAGCATTGCTGAAACGATACCTTTCCTGTGCTTAGCGCGAGCCATGGTAGAAACACTCAAAGACCTTCACTACGGAAACTATCTGGAAGATTTTATCGCTGATCTGCCAAGATGGCAAATGATCTTTTCATCCGACGATCAACAACAAGACCTAGAAACTTACAGAGAAGCTATTTGGTCCATGTGGAACGTGCGAGTTGATAGCGTTGGGGCTCCCGACTTTGACGAGACGGTTCAGCGTTTCCACGATCTTGCCTTTGCATTGGCCTCCAAGGCTGACCTGATCTACGGAGCATCTTCTCCCAATACATCCGAAATGTCTATGCAGGATTGTGGAGGTGAACAACGCCAAACTGCTTCCGGTATATGGAGCGAAGGCGCAAACTACCCCTCAGATGATGCATCTTCGTTCGTGACTCAGGATCGTACTGTCCTAGTTGAAGATCAGCCACCCACGCCAAAGAGTTGGGGTATACCTAGCCGTACCCTAGCCGAGGAAATAAGGAGAGATCCGACTATTGTTGAACCTCTAGCAACCTTCCTCATTGCTGGGGCAGTGTTTGCTATCATGATTGTATACCTTCAAGGTGAGGGTCAAAGCTGTGCGTTTGCTGATTGAATTGCTAACACAAGGAACTCAGTTCTAGAAAAGGTGCAGAAGCTTTCAGTATCACTTCTGGTGGCGTTCCCGAACGTCAAAACCCTAACTCAGCGGTTCCGTTTGCTGCAAACTGAGCTGGTTAAGGGCGACAACCTGGTGTTTATCGAGGGGGTCTGTGGGAGTAATTATTGCGTTGTATGAAGGTACCTCAGGCCGCGAGGTATGCAGGCGTTTGTTGGACTTAATGTTGGGCGGTTATGCAATTAATTGGTCTAGGCTTGACTCCCAAGAAGCTGCGGAATTTCACTAATGCTCCATCAAATCACCAGTCATTGGCAGATTTTCGTGAAAGCTGGAGGTGAGATAGTTGTTGGACTGCTCACAAACACAGTAAGACGGGGGCACTTCACCCGATGCTTAAGGAGATGACGGCAAAGTGGGGCCGAATCAGGGAGTACGCCGGCACCGGGTAGAGGATGCCAACGCCGAGAATCTACGGAATCAAAACAGTGCCCACGGGATGGTCGAAATAGTAATCCAAGAGCTGTGTCCGGACATTCGGCCCTCCCACGTCCGATTGCTTCGTTCTCGCGACGTTCCAGAAGTTGAATCCCTGAAAGCTCAGATGTCGGACGAGACCAGCCTCCCCCAATCAAAGCACCCAAAACACGAGACTAACTGATCTTCCGCCACTTCCCGTCTCGCGACTGCGCGCAAAGGCAGGGTGCCGGACCTCTTCTACCCTCGGCAACGAACGGAGCAAGTTCGCAGAGAAGAAAGTTACTTGGCCCCAGGCCAATCATGCCTCGGCGCTGCACCCCCGCGCTTTACTCCAACATTGGCTGCTTCCCACTAGTCGAGGCCGGGGGTTGGTGTGGGCCAAAGTGGGTGAGTCGGTGGACACAAACCGTCGTTGTGTTACATTCTCGCTTCGCCTTCACGAGGAGGCCATTTGCCGGTCGTCTTTTCCGGTGTTGGAGCTTGGGAGCTTGGGGACATGGAGCACGGCAAATAATCGCTAACATTGGGGATCCCAAACACGGCGAACCCGGTGTTTTCCTCTGTCTGCCCAATGACACCCGCGACTCTTGCGAGCTCCACGGCAAGCTGGCGGGGTTTTTGATCTCTCCGTCCCCCACGTTTCACAGGGATCCAGCTCCAAGAGTCGGCCCTGGGCAGCAGTCGAGGACACTTTTTACCGTTCGGCTCGACGTCACGAATGCCTAGCTCGTTCCGAAGATCCCCTCAATCTTCTCGCCCTCAATTTTGTAAAACGTCAGACACCATACACCACGAGTTTGGCGTTTCCCGGTGTGCGATTCCGAGTTTCCAAATAGACAGACAATCTTGTTAGATAGAGCTTTCAGACTCCATCTGAAGATATGGCGCTCGGTGAGATTCCCCGCCATCACCAGCCTCCAACTTGGTGGTGAAAACCTTCCGTCGCGTTCAGTCAATCACGACCTCGGGTTTTACCACGGACCAATATGCTAACATCGGAACAGCAGCGGCAGCCGCGGTAGCTGGAGGCGTGGCCTCATCATTGTATCTTGACGCGAGATACCACCTCTCGAAGGATATCAATTCGCTCCGAGGCCGCCGAACAGTCGTCAGCGCAATTGAAAACGCTGGTAAGTTGCAAGTCTATATCACCGACGAGAAGTGACCTTATGAAAATATCAGTCAAGAACGACCGCGTATCGCCCTACTACATCTTCGAACAGGCAGTCCAAAAGCATCCCTATGATGAGGCCATCTGGACGAGAAATGGAAGCGTCTCGTGGAAGACCACCTACGATCGTGTCAACCAATATGCTCAGTTATTCCTCTCTTATGGCGTCAAGCCCGGACAATTCGTCGCTTTCTTCATGCAGAACTCTCCCGACTTTGCCTTCGCCTGGGTAGGACTACTCGCTATCGGTGCCGCACCGGCCATGATCAACTACAACCTCACCGGCAAGGCTCTCCTCGGCTGCATCGAAATCAGTACAGCGAAGCTTGTGCTAGTGGATGGATCAGCAGAGGTCGCGGCGAAGTACCAAGACGTAAACACCGAGCTCGACATGAAGGGGATCAAGCTTATCAACTTGGCCGAAGAGAAGCCTAGGGTCTATCAGATGGATCCTGTACGGCCGCATGACAACCTCAGGAATGGAATGATGCCGGGTGACGCGATGGCTCTTTTCTATACCAGGTAAGGACTACGATGATTCTCAGTGACCTTAACTAACAGATGCAGCGGAACTACTGGTCTGCCTAAAGCTGTGTTGTTCCCTGCGGCGGCTGCGGCAAGCTTGTCACTACAGGCAAGTACTAATGGAACCGGCACTGCTTGCTCTTTGGAAGCTAATTGGATCAGAATGATTTGGGATTCCATCCGACTGCTGGTAACAGCGAACGGTGCTACATCTGCATGGTGTGTTTTTGTGCACGCTTCTTGTTCCGGTATACTGCTGACCGTCGCCAACAGCCATACTATCATGGGACCGGAGGTATCACGATGATGTCACAGATACTTGTGAGAATCTTCCCCATCCCTTGAAGGCCTCTTTCTTACAACGATGCAGTCGGGATCCACAGTTTGCATGGCCCCAAAGTTCAGTGTCTCGACATTCTGGGACGACATTCGCGACTCGAACGCGACCTGGTTCGTCTACGTCGGCGAGACGCTACGATACCTCCTTGCCGCGCCGCCTTCCCCACGTGATAAAGAGCACAACATTCATGCTGTCTTCGGAAATGGCTGTCGTCCAGATGTCTGGAGGCGATTCCAAGAACGATTTGGTGTCGACACTGTTTGCGAGTTCTACAACAGTACCGAGGGTGCCCTGGGGCTGCGCAACCTTTCGCGAGGCGATTTCTTTGCCAACGCTGTTGGCCACCACGGCTTGCTACTTCGGCTAAAGTACAGAAACATGTATGTTCCTGTCGCCATCGATACAGAGACTGGTGAAGTCCAAAGAGATCCTAAGACGGGGTTGGCAATCCGGATGTCGTATGAGACGGGCGGAGAGATATTGGTAGAGCATCCGGGTGAAAGGGCGTTTCCAGGTTACTTCAACAACCCCGATGCAACGGACAAGAAGTATGCGAGGGATGTCTTGAAGAAGGGAGACATCTTCTACCGTACTGGTGATTCTCTCAGACGGGATGCTGATGGCAGATGGTTCTTCTTGGATCGGTAAGTTCCTTTCCCGGTGCAGTCGATTGACATAACCTGACATGACTTGAAAAGACTCGGGGACACCTACCGGTGGAAGGGTGAGAACGTGTCTACAGCTGAAGTGTCGGAAGTGCTCGGGGAATACCCCGGTGTGAATGAAGCAGTTGTTTATGGCGTTTCCCTCCCTGGCCACGATGGAAAGGCTGGCGCGGCAGCTTTGGATATCGCTCCAGACAAGAAGGCGTCCTTCGACTTCGCTGACTTCCTGAGGTACATATTCCGTTCCGAGAGCCTTGCTTCATTGATGCTAAGAGTCCTAGGTACTCGCGATCCCGGTTGCCACGATATGCCGTGCCCATTTTCGTTAGGCTGTTGAATGCAAGCCAAGCCAGCCACAACAACAAGCAGAACAAGGTGCCATTGAAAAACCAAGGCGTTGACCCGAGCAAAATCGAGGGTGGAGATCAGCTTTTATGGATTGAGAAGCACGGCAAGGGCAACACCTACGTTCCATTCACGCAGGACGACTGGGACAACCTCGGGCAGGGCCGAGCGAAGCTTTAGATGGGCGAAGTTCTTATCCCTCACAGATACTTATTCTACTGGACATTTGAAGATGTCCCCTTCAATGAGCACGTGTGAAGTCTTCAGCATCTTCCTGCGACTGATGCAGTGATATCGCGTCGGCCACTAGCGACCATCCTTGGCCGGATCAACACCGCTTCACCTGCATTCCCGCGATATGCGGGGGCGGGATGACGGAGATGACGCCCAGGACTCAGCCAATGAGCGCGCTGTGATGATAATCTGCTGAGAACCAAGCTTCTGACGGCGCGATCCAGGATACGACGAACCCCGCACGACGCAATCACGCACCAGGGGATTGCGCACGCGGGGGGACACCCCTGTACGCTTCACATGGAGATCAGCGCATATGGGATGGCTGGGACCGAGGCGAATAACCTGAATTTGGCTGGACGAGATGATCAGTCACACTAGAGCCTTGGTTTCTTGTTGGGGCCAGAGATTCAAATGAGGGCGATGCCCAGGTTCTGCTGCGAGCCAATTCCCGACTTGATTCCCTCGTGTTTTTGCCCGGGGCACCAGCCATCGCAAACATGGCAGGAATCAAGCGGACGCGCATCATTTTCGCCCTATTTATCACTTGTGTGCTCATTCTGCTTTTCAGGAGCGGGAAAGACGCGAAGTCAGAATCAGAACCAGCACATTGGATGGATTTCCCGCCACCCGAAAAGGATCCCTCGACCGACTCACCTCCCAAGATCGATATACCTCCCGACCATGTTGAAATCCCGATGATCAACGACGCCCTCAATGGACAACCCCCAACACAGCCAGTACAACTCGTTCCTGATGCGCACAAGTTAGCGACAGCGGATGAGTTTCTTCCACATTTTGCGGCAGTCATTCAAGAGAAGGGAATCTCTCAGCGAGAGGCCCGCGCAACATGCACGTGGCCAGCGGATGTGTTTGTCGACTTTCAATTCTCCGATACGCTGGAGTGGGTTCTCGAGGACCGGCCAGTGTTGGAGATAGAGCTGCGCCGACGCGAGTGGCATGACTTTGTTCAGAAAGGCATGATACCATACGCGACCGTGAAGGATCGGTTTCTGGGAAGAGGCTTGGTCATTGTTGCTGGCAATGCGGACACGATCATGCGCGTCAAGGTGGTCCTTCGACAGCTGAACAGACTGGGATCAATCATACCTATCGAGATTCATTACTGGGACACAGAAATGGACATTGGCGCAATGGCGGACCTCAACGCGTTGTACACGCCGATCTACTACAACGACCTGTCGAAGCCGCATAACATTATCCACATCAAGAAGGACGGATATTTTGGAATCAACTACCAGCTGAAGACGGCAGCTCTGCTGAATGCTCGATGGGCTGAGCCAATCCTGCTAGACTCCGACAACATTCCTATTCTGGACCCAGCGACTCTGTACGACTCGATCCAATACCAAGAGTACCATTCGGTATTCTGGCCAGACATCGCACGTACACGGCCCCAGAATCCCGCTTGGGCTATCTTCAATACCCCTTGCCGGATGGCCGAATACGAGCAAGAAAGCGGACAGCTGCTGGTCGACAAGACGCGATTCTGGTATCATCTCCAATTAGCGTCGTGGCTGAACAACGAGCAGGGGAAGTACTACAATGAGATCTTGCTGGGCGACAAGGATATGTTCCGCTTCGCATGGCATGCCCTGAAAACAAACTTTGGGAAGCCCAAGAAGTGGGTTACGAGCGTTGGCACGGAAAACGATGGGTTTTACTGCGGTCATTCGTTCGCGCAGCATCATCCGGATGACGGGCGAGTGGCGTTTGTACACGGCGGACTAGTGAAGACAGTGTCCCTCGAGGTGATGAGATGGAATCGCGATGTTAAGGGGGGCTACCTTCGACACTACAAGAGGTCGCCAAGCGAAGAGAGTCCAGAAGTGAACATTAACGTCGCCATAAAGTTCGACGGAGCGGCTTACATGCCTGACCATTCCAACAAGTTCGAGGCCGCCCAGTGTACCGACATGTTCGACGTCCAGGCGCGAGACCTGAACGAGATCCTCCCCGGATTCGAGCAAACCTTCCGGGAGATAGGAGGGTACTGGCAGCTGGACCAGGAGGATACGGCAAACTTTGGTCAAATCAACCCTTTTCCAGGGGGGTGAAGCTCGCGCGAACGATGCGAATAGCATGATATTCACCAGGATGACATCCGTTGCCAAGAATGGCATCGAGGAAGAACCGGGTGAGATTAAACCCCCTGAAGATCCTCCGCGGGCCGAACAGAGGGAGCTAGGCGCCAAGCACGAGCAAAGGACGGGAGGTCAAAGACACGCGAAACAGACAAAGGCGGGCTAGCGCCGTGGCCGTACTGTCTTTGATGGTCAGAGACTTGGCCCTCCTCGACCGGGCTCCGTTGTGCGGAATCTGAAAAGAAGACTCGAGGCTAGAAAACTGTGCATTGAAGCTTAATTTCTCAGCCCTGGGGTGTCCGACCAGTCTGAGCCGGCAGAATGTCAGCAACCCTCCCATCAGCTGGAGGCGAACCTTGGTGTTGACAAGTTAAGGCGCCGATCAGGGTCGTGGATTGTCAGAGGTCTTGGCATGACAATTGTGGAAAATAAACTGCCACAAGGCTGATGAGAGACATTGAGAAATCAAGCCATCGGTCTTGGTCAAAGGAAGTTGGCACGTTGTGATGGCGGGAGCTGAGATGCAGAGCAGGGAAAGAAACATTCGCGTGTCTCAGTCGTGTCGAATGAGTCAAGTCTTCCATGGCAACATACGGACAGTCACCTGAGAGGATTACGCAGTCAGCAGCACTGAATCGCACAAGAGAAGAGACTCTCCTGCAAGATGGATCCTCTTACTACTGCAGCTTGAGAATAAAATCGTGTTATTGGGCGACCCAATCCATCGGCTTCTCATCCGAGCGTTGAGAAAGTTCGTTCACATTTCGAGACACAAGCAAGACCAGGAACTAGAGACAAGCATCGGACGACAAAAACGGCCCTTGACCCGGGGAAACATGTTCGGGCCAGTAACGTCTCGTGTTCCCCATTCTTAGCACATCTGAGCTAATGTTTCAGGGCAACTCGCAGGCCAAGCCGCACCGTTAGGGTGCTAACTGCAACATCGGATTAGCGGCTGAATCCCGCCTGCAACGCTAAAACAATGGCTCCCTCTGCGGGATTGCGATGGACCTTTGTATTGCCCCTGAACAAAGGTGCCCCCCCTGGCTCTTGAGTCGAGATATGCATGCCGGAACGGGCAAGGCTTCTCGTTCTGGATATCGCATTCGGCATAGATCCAATATCAATCGGGAGCTAAGTAGTGTTTTGCAGCTCGTCCCGCAGTCTGTTCCAGGGTCATCTTGCAGGATGATGGGATGATGGGTGCATCGGTAGGACACGAGGAATCAGATGCTCGGCCACCACCCAGCAACGTTGTACAATGTTTCCACATTCCCTGCTTTGAGTTGCTGTTATTCTGGACAAGGCAATATGCAACAGGGTCTTCAGCAAAACCACAACAAACGGTCAGAAGGAACAATAGAACTCGGTGTGTTGAGTCGTAGCCGCCACACAGACCTCTTTGTTTGCTCGCCGTCGACGCCTCTTCTCATCCTGGTCAGCCACCGTCAGGAACCGCCTTAACCTGTCCAATCACGGCCAGGATGATTGCCGTCTTCTTCAGTATAGCTTCGTGGAGGCGAAGCAGCAGTGTTACAGTGCTCGGACCGGGCCTGCTCGGCCCAATACGAGAGGAAGCAGACGACGAAGAAAAGAAAAGCAAGCCTTCACTAACAACGTTGACGGCTCCGAGACGCCCCGGGGCAAGCCAGCGTGACGGCGGGCTGCTCATCTCCACACCCAAGCTTCACGATGCGCTCTTCTCGCCAAGAATAGACTTGTCCAGAGGTGAGCACGGTCGTCGGGCTGCTGAGCTATTGATGAGGATATAATGAAGCCGCGATGCCCCGTCTGTCGCAGCTTTTGGAACACCATCTCACGCCTCATCCGGTCTTCCGCCTCTCTCACACATTCATTCCGACTTTGAGTAGTCGTCCTTTCTTTCTTACACGCAACGGTTTTCACGCCAATATCAGCACACTCACTTTCCTAATACCTACCTTCGTTAACCACAGTCAATATGCGTGTGACTCTCTTTACCGCAGCCCTCGCGGCCACTTCCGTCTCTGCCTACCCAGGCATGAAGAACACCTTCTCCGAAATCCGCGCCCGTGTTGATGCGGACGGCGGCGGTGCCGACAACGACGACTTCGACTCCGCCGAGCTGATCGGTGACCTCGCCACCCTCGACGACTCCAAGCTCACTCCCGTGGGCAAGACCGTCAAGTCTATCCTTCTTGGCAACGATATCAGCCCCGAGAGCACTGATGTCTATGTCACCTCCGGCAAGGCCAACAACCTCGCCGCCAAGGGCACGCCAGCCTGCGCTGCTGACACCTGCTGTATCTGGAAGTATATCGCCAACGACCTTCAGGGTGTCTTCAAGGGCAAGTCCGGTCGTTGCACCGACTTTGCCCGTGCTGCTGTCCGTCTCGGCTTTCACGATGCCGGCGGCTGGTCCAAGTTCACTGGTGACTTTGGCGGTGCCGATGGCTCTATCATTCTGGCTGCCGAGGAGATGAGCCGTGGCGAGAACAACGGTCTTCAGGAGATCGTCGCCCAGACTCAGGTCTGGTACAACCAGTACAAGCAGTTTGGCATCGGTATGGCCGATCTTATCCAGTTCTCTGCCAACGTTGCCACCGTCGTCTGCCCTCTCGGCCCCCGCATCCGCACATACGTCGGCCGCAAGGACTCCTCTAAGCCATGCCCCAACGACCTTCTCCCTCCCGTCACCGGCTCCGCCGACTTCCTGATTGAGCTGTTCGAGAACAAGACCATCAAGCCCCACGGCCTCACTGCCCTCATCGGCGCCCACACCACGAGCCAGCAGCGCTTCGTTGACCCCAGCCGTGCCGGTGACCCACAGGACAGCACTCCAGGTGTCTGGGACGTCAAGTTCTACGCCGAGACCCTCGGCTCTGCCCCGGCCCGTGTCTTCAAGTTCGCTTCCGATGTCGTTCTGGCCAAGGACTCTCGTATCAGCGCTGAGTTCCAGGCCTTTGCTGGCTCTGGCGGCCAGGCTCACTGGAACCAGGTAAGCTACTCTTTCCCCGATTACAGATGCCACTCAATCACTAACATACTCTGAAGGACTACGCCCGCGAGTACATTCGCCTCTCTCTCCTAGGTGTTAACAACATCAACGACCTCACTGATTGCTCCAAGGCCCTGCCTGCGAAGACCGGCAGCTTCGTTGCCCCTGATCAGGCTGCTATAGACAAGTGGCTGGCTACCAAGGACCGCGTTGCCAAGATTGCCGACGAGCTCCGCAACGGTGGCAATATTAGCAGTCTCATCAACAACGTTCTTGGCTGGCTCAAGGGTATCTTCGGCTGGAAGTACTAGAGAATAGTCCTCTCACCATTCGTTATGTCTACAGCATGAGCAATTAGAGGCGCAAGGGAATGATTTTGGGTTCATAAAATATTGCTTGGGTGGCAACCGTAGATACACCCATAATGTCTATACTTAATCAAAACAACCATTCGTTCATCCTTTTCAGTCAAAGTTAACACTGCAATAATCCCATTTCGGATGAACCGTACACCTTTTGAAATGATCCATATACAATACCTCGGGGTTTCAACTTTGTCCAGACATTGCATTTCAGTGTTCTACTCGCCCGAGCCATAGCTCAGTCGTAGAACATGGAGCATAAAAGTGTGTTATCTGAAGACGCTTAGTGTTCAGAATTGATGGCCTGGTCATTGGCGAGATTGCTCTCAAGTGCAGTGACAGCCAAAGCCGTCACCAGCCCCTCGCTAGAGAAAAGAATCCCGGTCGAGCCGTATCGATAGATATCTCCTGTCCATCTTCCATCGCTGTGCTGTAATTCTAACAATGTTTTTCTGTCTAGATTGTTGACCAACTGCATATTGTTTGATGAAACTAAACGCAAAGCAGCACTGGATGCATCGTGTGTAGAACCCATGCGATCTTTGAGACGCCAGCAAACCAAATCGCGAATAAAGTCAAGCTCATCAGCGTCAGGGTTCTTCGCGCACAGATCGCTGAGATAGTACAGAAGAAAATCCGGCAGGTGGTAATAGCGAGTACCATGCTCGAATGCCCCAGTGCGGAGCATGTCTTCCATGAAGCGGCGTGCAGACAGGAGCTGGGTGCCTCGTCCGTTGGCATAGAAAAGGCGGAGCACATTGGCCGAGATGAAGGGATCAAGGCGCGGTCTGCTAGAATCAAAGTAACACTAATCGTCGATTATTAATCTTTCCTTAGCAGTTTACGGCGAATGCTTCGCTTACATATGCTAGACCATCTGGGTTCATATACTGCAACATGTCGTCCATGGTCTTTTGTTTGATGCTGTCTGGAACATCAAGTTTGAGTAGAGCCAGGCAGGTGGTGTCCAAGTCATCGGGATATGTGGCTGTAGTTAAAACCGGTGGGCCGTAGGCAAAACAATTCCAACGACCCTCGGGAGGATTCAGCTGGCCGATTTGGACAAGATCCCTAGATGGAAGTCGTCAGGAACTCGCTTGTAGAATTATTCTATGCGCAAGTACTTACCAGTCGTTCGTGAGATGCAATAGGAGTAGCTGCTGGAACTGCTCTCGTATCTCCAACCCAGTGCTGGACATGCACCACATGTCCTTTGCGTGTGTTTGAAGCCATGATCTGCCGCGCTGTACGGGGTCACCGAAGAGGGATCGAAGCTTCCGTACTGCACTCTCGGTGTTGTCGAAGAGAACGCCACGCATCCCGCAACACTGAGCACAGATGACATTCTCGGTACGATCGTCAACAAAGACTGCAGAGTCAGCAGCTACACCAGCGACCTCAAGGACTCGATTATAAAAGTCCCTCTCTGGTTTGCGAACACCAAGTCTGGCCGACGTGAACACATCGTCAAAGATGTCCCAACCCCCAAGCTTTGCACGAACAGTGTCGTAGCTATCGTTCGACATGTTGGTCGCAGCAAACACTCGCAGCGTGTCGTTGGACTCTGTCTTTAGCCTCCTGATAGCCACCACGAAGTCGTCATTAAGTGTTAACGTCAACGATGCCTGGCGGACCGTCTCCTCCAATGCGCCCTCATGCAGTCGTAACCTCTCTGTGAGCGATTTGTACGCCTCTGAAGCCGTTCCCTTGCCTGACTCAAGGTTGTGCCACTCAGCAGATTCAAGGATATATTTGAATTGCTTGGGTGGAATCGGAGCGCCGAGGGGAGCAGAGAAGTTACAGAGAACACCGCCAAGGTCCAAGATCAGTGTACTGGGTCTTGGATTAATCTCAGCCTGAATGTCCTTCACAATTAGCAACTGGGCAACGTAGGAGCTTACGAAATTATCTGGAAAATACCAATCCAATCCTACCTTAACTGGATTCCCACTGAGGCTTGAAGCGGGAACAGGCGCTGGAGTCGTATGCTGACGCATCATGGTAGCAGTTTTGGCAACCGACATCTTCGGTGAAGTTTCTGAATTGTAGAAAGATGTCCGTCTGGAATTACATTTAAGGTGAGTATTTTCTCGGGATTGGTGCAGCTTTTATAGCCTTTGAGCCGAGACATAAGACACCCCTTACGCCGACTAAATGTAGTCTATTCCGAACTAGGCAGGCAGGGACGTGTTTAGTACGCGAAACGTACTGACCGTATCCAACCCTATCATCTATTAGGAATATTTTGAAGCCCTGGGACATCAATGATGTGGAAATAGCTCGGACTAATTACATCAGTTCAGTTTCCTGTGCGTACGAGGCACATATCATGGCGGGAGTGAACACCCGCAAGACCTCAAGACATCGCATGAGGCCGCATGACTACCTTACATATATTGCACTTCGATTGGAACAGAAAGTACGACTTTTCATGAGCCCAGGGTGGGCGTCTTATGTCATAGACAACCGCCAGCCAGTAGAAGACGAACGGTCTCGCACTCAATCACTCAGCTTGCAACCCTCCAGGTACATTCATTCGGACTTGAGTATTACCTGCATGCTGACTGGACATGTTAGCGTTGAATCTCACGCTCCCTATGTCCTGTCAGCAAAGGAGTCTCACTTCACATAATATTCTCTTCCTAGCCAAGGTACGCATTGAATTTTCTAAGGGCGCGACTTCTCTCAAGACCCTCTACATCGCCACTCCCGCCAACCTTCTTCAATCTTGCAGGATTGAGACAGCTCTATTATCCTGGACACAACTTTCATCTCTTGTGTTCTACTTCTACGTTAATGACTGCGCCCACGCCATGCATGAATACGTCTTGTAAATCGCCTGAGAAAAGTCACCGGCAACATTGTACCATAAGTCATGCAACTGCGAGCCCTGGCTCTGCTGTGGTATTTGAACCTTATGTATTTCTCATAGTCATTACTTTACATGAAGCCATTCTTTGGTATCGCGTTGTTTTGTTTTCTTACTCCCTCACGAACAAGCCAGCCATTCCCATGCCGGTACCGACACACATGCTGACGACACCGACCTCACCACCAGATCGGCCCAGACCGTGCAACAGGGTGCTGGTCATGCGGGCTCCCGTGGCACCCAGAGGGTGACCAAGAGCAATAGCTCCACCGTCGGGGTTCACCTTGCCGTCCTCATAATCCTGCTCCAAACCCAAGGCTCTCAGGCAGTAGATGGCCTGACTGGCGAAAGCCTCGTTGATCTCCCAGCGGCTGACGTCCTTGTTCTCCAGTCCGAGCTGGTTCAACAGCTTGGGAATGGCAATGGCCGGGCCAATGCCCATCTCGTCGGGCTTGCAGCCGACAGTGGTAGCTGAAACGAACTTGCCGATGATGCTATCAGTAAGGCCCAGCTCAGTTGCGGTGCTTCGGCGCATCAACAGAGTCGCGGCGGCACCGTCGGAAACTTGCGATGAGTTACCAGCCGTACTAGCACCGTCCGCCTTGAAAGCCGGCTTCAGCTTGGCCAAAGCCTCGATGCTGATGTTCGCGCGAATGCCGTCGTCCTGGGTGGCGGTAATAATCTTCTCCTCTCCGACGTTGTTTCCCTGCTTATCCTTCTCTTGGAACCTCGTCTTCACTGGGACGATCTCCTTGGCGAAGGAACCATCACTTGCTGCCCGCGACGCGTTCTGGTGGCTGCGAAGGGCGAATGCATCTTGGTCCGCGCGGGAAACCCCATAGCGCTCAGCGACGTTCTCCGAAGTAGTGCCCATGGCCATGATGCAGTCTCTAGCATCCTTGACCGGGGAATCCTTCAGTTCCGGCCACACGTCGACGGGAATCGCGCGGCTGCCGTAGTTGCGGGTCATGCTCTCCATACCAGCGCCAATTCCCACGGATATCGTCTCGGTTCGGATCTGCGATGCGACAAGGGCAATTGACTGCAATGACGAAGAGCAGGCGCGGTTGACGGTGTAGAGGGAGGTCGTGTTGGGGTAGCCGACGTGGTTCATGGCCATGCGGGCGGCCTTGGAGCCACCGAGCTCCGAGAGCACGACGCCGACGGCGACATCTTCAATCTTGGCGGGGTCGAGGTTCGGGTTGGCCTCAAGAGTGGCCTTGAGGACGGTGGAGAGCAGCTCTTCGGGGTATGCGTCCTTCAGCTGTCCCTTGTACGAGCGGCAGACGGGGGTTCGCAGCGACGACAGGATGACGACGTCGGAAGGCGCCTTCTTGAGCACAGAAGAGATTCCCTTGGGGAGCGACATGGTTGCTGTGTTAAATGAGACACCCGGAGCTTCTGCTCTTCCAATTGACAGTGAATACAGTGAATTACGGGAGGAATTGGTAATGTACAAGAGAGGAAGAGTAACAAAAAGGAAAAGAGACAAGAAAACTAGCGAAAACAAGTCGGATAAACGTGAGCGATGTCGGTTCTTCGGGGGTAGCTTTGGCTGAAGTATCGGGGCGGGGGAGAATAGCTCTTCCCCTACTTTTCCCCAGCTTGATCCTCGACACCGAAGTGGGGGACCCGCACCCCATGGCAATTGGGTTCGGCAAAGGGAAGTCGGCATTCCCGGGGCTAAATCTTCTTCCGGCACCAAAGCAGAGCTTCTATACCGAGTCTCACCGAGGCTTACCGAGCATAACCACCAAATGTAGTCGGTGACGAATTGGGAAATTGCCAAGAGGTGAGATGAGTCTGTGGGTTCAAGTCTGTCTTTCTATGGTCCTCTTTCAAGTCAGACTTCTGAACTGTCAATTCAAATTCTCACCGTTGTTGACATATTTCCGTTGACACATTTCCGTAGTACACGTATCATCTATCGGACTTGTCGGAGTGCGACTGCTTCTCAACAACGTGAAGAGCTATATGGACAGGTGGGGAAATTGCACAATAACTAGGATAGAAGTCTGACGATATCAATATTATTTTGCTGAATAATTTGATCTTTATGGATTATATTCGCTTTTTAAATGGCAATTAGGATTGACGTACATGATTCAATCAGCGTCCATCTAAGTGAGTGGCACCTCATTCACAGATCCCGATGACGATGTTGATATTCATACTTCAAGTTCCAATGATATTGCAGTTTACTTATAAGAAAAAAGACTGCTCTTATAGACCTTATTGCAGCTTAGCCGGTATATAGTCGAGGTGCAGTTGGTCTGTCTCTTGAGGTCATTGAACCCGCTGCCCCATCCCCCACCAACCTTCCTAGTCTGGGAGGATGACTTGCCTTTCAAACCCGAGGATTCGAGAAAGGATTCGACAAGGACGCTGAGAAAATTTCCTGCAGGAAATTGCAGGAAGTGCTTCAATGCATGCAGAAAATGAGGCTCGTCATAACCCACACAGAAAAATACAACATTTTGGTTCAAATTCGAATCAAAATGAATCAATATTTACAGTAGCCTGTCCGTCTGGACGTCCAGCAAATGCCTGATGAGTGCTCAAATGAAGAGATAGGACCTGCTTTGGGGGGCAGCCGGCCAAACTCTGGTTGCGGCCGGACTTCTTTTCATGAACTCCGCTTACCCACTCTGCTATCACGATACGGAGGGTAGCACGCATATGCATGCGGCTGGTATGAGCAACTAGCGGTAAGCTGTGCATCAACCGCGTGTCAAGAACCCACGTTATCTAACAGTCAGACACTCCTTGCTGCGCAGTGTTGCCGTGGACGAGGAGACTGGCCAATCTCTGTCGCATACCGGCTCAACAGACTCCATCGTTCTCAATGTCGTCAGTGACAATGCCCGCATTCCACCATCATAATTCCTCCCCGAAGCCCGAAGGATCCTGCAATCCACCCTCACCATGGCATCAACGCTCTCAACCCCGGCAGATCTCCACCTCCCACCCTCCGTGCAGGCTGGTCTGACTGCCCAGTCTTCCCCCAAATGCATCCACTCGACACGTTCCTCGACGAACCAAAGCAGGCCTTTTGACACACATCCCTCTGCCCCGGTCCCAACGTGCCAGTCGCCTAGGTGCTAACCCCAACCTAACCCCAGTAGTATCCATTCCCTCGGGTCTTGGCACGCGGGGCTCCATTTCCCCATTTCCCCATCAGTGGCTGACCAAATCCAGCCTCCCCAATGGCGCCTGAATACCAAGACAAGCGGTCTCCCTCACGTCCTTTCCGCGTTCCTATCGTGTTAGCATGCCCTTGCCCTTATCCTTTTCCATCGATTCACTGTGAAGTGACATAGTGTATTAAAGTGTACTTTTTGGAGACTCTACCAGCACGCAGGCTACCCTTACAATCCCCCCCCCCCCCCCCCCCCCCCCCNACCCCCCCCCCCCCCCCCCCCCCTTTTCCCTTCTCCCTTCGCTTCTCTCAGCTTCAATAATCAGGGAGGATTACAGCGATCACTACAATTACCTCATTCTTATATTCTTTATATTTATTTAGCTTATTAAGCTCTTCCTAAACCTCTCTTATTTACTTATTATATCTAAACTTCCTATAGAGTTTTTACTAATCCTTTTAGTACTCCTTAATACCTTAGACCTCGCTAAATTAAGAGAAGAGGTATACCATAATTTAATAAATAAATATTTAGTAGTAGTACTTATCCCTAGACTTATCTAAAGATCTAATATTAAGACTTATATTATTAATAGTAACTTAGATATATTATTTATACTTTTTTATAAGAGCAATAAAATTAACTTTCTCTTTTATTTTCTAGTTTATTAATTTAGTAATAAGTATCTTAACTAATTTAATTATAATAAGTTAATCTTATTAAGGATAGTTAATAAGTAGAGGAAAAATAGACCTATATTCTTCCTCCTATATAACCTTATATAGTAAGTTATCTATAGGCTATTAAGGTTATTAATAATATTCTTATAAACTTAGATCGAAGCTTTCCTAGTTATTATAAATAGTATTATAATACTTAGTAGGTATCTATTAAAGTATAAACAGAATTTTTATAGTATAGCGTAAACCTCCACAAATTGGATATGGCTGGGCTCAAAGGGTAGAAGATCCTTTTCCATCGACCGTCGCTCACTGTTTCTTTCGGATCCCAAATC